TTTTGAAAAAAATTTGATCATCAATAACAAAATGGATATCTCGTGGATGCATGTTTCTAATATTAAAACGTCAATATGGAGACATGGCATATTCTTCCACCAAGTCCCAAATAGTGTCCTTAACTACATCAACATAATTTTTATCCGTCAATAACGAATTAATAAACTTCCAGTAACCTTGATCATGTTCAATATCACTGAGGTCAAATTTAATGTCAATAAGAGAGTGATCAGTTCTATCTCCTGGCTTAATCTCACAACTGATAATTTTAGAGTTTAATTCTGATGAAATTAAGAAAACAATCCAATGTAGATTGCTTCAAAGTTTGGAGTTGTCTCCAAGTATATCTACGAGAATCCGGGTTGTGTGCCCTCCAGACATCAAATAAATCAAAATCATTCCACATATTGAGAACTCTGTTTCTTGCCAGAGGATTATTCAGATTGACGTAGTTCACATAATCAAGAGATTCATTTTGGACCAAATTCCAGTCCCCACAAAGAATAGTGTGAGTGTAATCCAAATCATTCAAAATCGTGCAGATATTATTATAAAAACCAGGATCATCGTTATTTGGTCCATACAAGTTGACCAATGTGATTTTGTAATCACCGACTTCTAGATCCACAATTAACCAATTACCATTTTCATCCTTTTTGACCCACTTGGCTATATATCCCACATTATTATTAAAAAGGATAACCACTCCTCTGGAGTTGCTCCTGAATGAGCTGAAGAAACAGTTGAAACCTCATTCACACCCCGCAAACTGTTCCGTGTCCTTGGTAAAATGCACATCTTGTAAACAATAAACAAAATATTTTTTGTTCATAAGAAAATGAAAGACGTCGCAAGGTCACCCAGCCCACGACAATTCATCGAGGCTACTGAAAACTGACTATTTTCCATTGCAACAATTTTTGCATAGTGATGCGAGGAAAATCATTTCGTATCCAAATATGGTCTTAAAAGTAACAAACAAACTTATAAAACAAGACCAAACCAAGGATACCTAAAATGAATGCAACACATTGAACCAAAGGCTGCAATAAAGAACTCGGTAGATGAAGAACTCGCCAAATGACTTAACCCAGATTTTTTAATGAAACCCCCCTCCCATAGGACCATACCCATTGCATTCCACAAAACAACCTTCCAACAAGAAAAAAAGAGAAAAAAGGTACAAGCATTCCCTCTTCAACACCTAAAACAAATCCTTTGGTCGACAGATAGCCCGCAGTGGAATGGATTACTAGAAGGAAACATGATTTCGACGCATAAGAGCTCTTTTCCAAACAAACAGGAACATTGAAGATCGCCCCCAAATACAGCATAAATACCCTAAACACACTCAACATCTGTCACAAAATTTGCGAGGAATAACCCCACAAAAGGGGACCACAGTTCCGTTGTATTTCAGGATGATGTTTTTGTTGCGTTGCCATGAAACCTAGTTTTGCAAAGCAGGGTCACGGATGTTTTTTCTGAGTACAGTTCTTCCCGCTCTACTTCGTACCAGGCACTTCTCCGCCGCTCGGCGGCCAGGGGTTAATAGTTTTGGAGGTTCCCTTGAACAGCCTCGCACGGGCCGGCACCGTCCCTGCTGGGAAGCCTGGATGATCGATCACGAGAGATAATTCAACAAATAAGAAAGAGTAAAAGCGATGCAGCATTCGCCACATGTTTACCTTAAAGCAGCAATGAACTCTTGCCATACAGAAACAATCCGGGCGATTCACAATAGTGCGCCTCTGAGAGTTTGCAACGCGTTGGCCAATCACAAGGCGCGAAATATATCGACCCTTTCCAAACGCGCATTGGGTCGACAGATTCCGCAGAATGTGATTTGCCAACGCGCTGCAAACTCTTGGAGGGCCCACTACTGTGAAACGCCCGTATTACGCGACGTTGAAAACCTGTGGGTGTTGCACCGGGCGGTTGTGCTCGATAATAAACTTTGTTCCCTTGAGCCAGGTACTTCTGTACATTTATGGTGTAGAGACAAAAATACTGAGTAAAAGAAACAAGTGGGCCAAACGAGAATCCAAAACCAAATTCCCCTTTGTAAGGCATTTATTTGTTTTCAAAATATATATACACACAGCATTAGACTGAGGAATACTGATAAGTTACATTAACCAAAATAAATCCACTTTCAACGACTGAATCTCTCTATTTTTTTAAAGTTCTATCTTTAAAAAGCTACATTTTCTTTTCTTTTTGGAAACACACTTCTGGCATTTTATGACATGTATAGCTTTCTTGGAGCCGTTTAGTTGTCGATGTCAAGTCTCAATCTAAATTGTAGCCGCATGCCCTTTAACAAGCACTCTTCCCTCTCCACCCATTTTATCCTACACACAATAAGGCTTTCTTCGCGAATGCAGCTCACAAACGAATAGACGTTGAAGGATACCATTCAGTCAAGTCAGCACAACATATGCATTACTGACAAACCTTTGCTAGCGACTGGGCATAGTAAATGGAAAAAAAGGGCAAATCTGTTCCAAGCCATTTGGCTCATAAGGCCAGTATAAATGAAAGACCATCATTACATGTAATTAAAAATCTGATCACAGCAACACGTCTGTCAAAATACTACCACCGAAGTCAATTACTGATATTTTCTTCAATATCAACAACTAAATTTTCCTTTTGAAGAACCTCATTTCTCCTGAAGACAATTTGCAATTAAGAGGGGAATAATTAATATGAGATTGGCCGGTCTGAAACGTGCGTTTAAAATTCACTCAGAAGAATGGACGCGACTAATGGCCCTCGCCTGCGGCTAGGGGCATTATCATTTCCATTCATAGATAATGTTTTAGTCAAGAGTCCAAAGAAGTCAATATATGATAGATTTCCTGCGATTTTGTTCAAGAATTTCATCTTCAGCTTCCCGAACACCCCGTCCATTTTATGGAATATTCCTTGAGAAAAATTGTCCAATTGGCGCGCGCGTGGCGAGCACGTGCATGCGGACTTTTGACCAATCAGAATCTTGTATCCAAGTGCCAGCGTGCGATTTACGTAGCGGGCATTATCACTTCTCATCAGGCATTATCAAATGTTACTACAAGGTCGAGTTGCACGTAGTTGAATAGAGAGACTGTCTGAGGTATGTATGAAAATTTGGCGAAGCGAAAAAGTCACCTTGATCAAGGCGTTGAGCTTGACTTACAGTTGATTGATTGAAGAAACTCCCAAACAGTGCCTTGTACATGTATGTACATGTATAAAGGCCTCTTTCCATATGCGCGTCAACAATTGCGGCAAGCGTTACCTATCCGTCAGCATCGTTATTGGGCGATTTTGATGGCTGAACGCAATGCAAACGTGTGGAGTCGATTTTGGACTCATGGGGTCATCTCATGGAGTTTTGGCTAGTTACCTGATTTATCAAGCAAGGTTTCCTCGTGTTTGAGCTAATTTTGTGCTTAAGCAGCTTTATGAAAATGGCCCCTGCAGGTTTTGTTCTCTTTTTTAAAACGCAACTATGTGTAAACCATTTTTTGATCTCTCAAAACATTATCATAATAAGATGAATTAAGAGAGAAATCAAATTTAGCACAAGTTTCCACAAAGCTCCATCAATGACTGGACGGTTTTGGTTACAAAAAAATCAAGCTTAGCCAGTGCAATGGGCTATCAATTAATGTTACAGAAAGCACCAAATCTCTCCCTTGAATTGACCAATCAGCTGCATGGTTTCAAAAAACTTGTTTACAGTAGTACTGACTCCGTTTCCAATATAGCACTCACTTTGATCCTGGGAAAGAATGTTTGACAAGAAAAAAATTCAATCAAAGTTAATTCTACCAAAATGTTCAGAGTCAATAGATGTTGTCAGCAACTCTGGACTTCATCATTGAAGCCCTCCTTTAAGCTCAAGGTTGATTCCTGTTGTCGCTCTCAGACAATCTTATGGCAGGGAATTCCCCCGCCGACCCGAGTGGATCCTGGAGTATCTGGACAGCTGAATTTGTTCAAGAGAAAGGTCCATCGCCCACACTGGAGATATTGACCAACTCCATGTTGGGAATGGAGGCCCTCCGGTGAAGTTCTCGCAGCTGCTTTAGTCTGCGTCTGGTCTGGGGGAACCTGTCCTTCAGGAGCTGTCTTTCCAGCACTGTCGGAACTGGAATATCTGGGTCTTCTCGGACCTTGGTGACCAAGACATACCGTCTGGGGAGATAAAAGGTGAAGACACATTGCTTTTCAGACAAGAAAAAATCTTTGACCATGCAAGAAGTGAGCCCCCCCCCATCCGGGCCCTTTGAAAAAGAGTTTATTCACTGCTGATAAAGATAACATATAATCACTGGCACACAAAGCACCAAGCTATAAAACTTTCAAAAGGCAAAATTGACTAGTTCAGTATCGTGCTGATATATAAGTTTAACGCAAAACATTCATATTCAAAGCTAATTTCCACTCTTTAGATATAAATACTCCTAGATGGGAGTAAAATAAAGACTGACAAATTTGCACCTCTGAAGAAAAGAATCCACCAAGAAAGAAAACAAATGGATGTTCAATATTAAAGATTTTTACACTTCTTAGCCACCTCGCCCCCAAAATGCGACTTCCCCCCCCCAAGTTTGCTTCTGGATCCGCCTTTGTGGTATACCTTGTTTTGCTAGGAATGGACTTGGTGCTATGTGGCCTCTTGAGAAGCAGTGACCCAGGATGAGATGGGTCGGGTGCGACTTCCTCAAAGACGTCCTCTGGGTGAAGTCTGGGGTTTGCACTCTGTGGTTGGGCCTGGTTGATTCTCAACCTGTCAGTTTGGGGAATAGTGAAAATGGAACAAAACTAATTCCACAAAACATCTCTCTGCAAAATTCATTTGATCCGGTATTAGGAAGTCCTCTGAGGCCCTTGCCTAAAAAAATGTTTTCAAGTTGTAGTGACATACTTTTAATGAGCTTAAAAGTCTTCTCTTGATCTTTTTACATGTGTTCAGAATGCACTGAGCATAAGGTGACACCTGATTCCACAGAAACCGTCGAATTCATCAAATGAACAACAAAGAGAAACAATAGGTCAATTGTTATATTATTAAATATTAGTTAAAGCACAAAGTTGATTGGATGAAGACTGGGAACTTGAGACCTGTGCTCTTCACGATGGAGTTTCATCAACTGCAGCCTCCAAAGATGCAACTTAAAAGAGAAATCACCTTATTCCAATCTTTTTGGAAAAAAAAGGCCAATTTATGCCCACAAATAACAGAAGCAACTGATGCAGATCTACTCCAACATTTACACGGATGAATAGTCCTCTTCGACATGAAAAAAAAATTGCATTTTTTAAAGCTCAGCAAATAATAATCACGCCAGTAAGAGTTCATAGCACCATGACGCAGTACATGTCACTGCCCATCGAGTCAATTCACCACCTCGTACCCTTTAAAGAAGTGGGTAAAAAAAAGTACCAAGGTGGAAGCTGTTTCTCTTTTCGAAAACTTCCTCTGTACCATCCAGGCCCACTTGTTGCTTCCTTCCTACAGGATACCGAATGTCCCATACTAGGCAGCGATGTCATTTGGGAACAATCTTGTGCCAGCTAACAAACGACATGGACATGTGATAACATGGAAATGTGATGGCTGCACAGGTGTCATGAACTTTGTCACATTCCATTCTGACTGTTATTTTTATATAACGGGTTTTGCCCTTACCCAACGTATATATTGATAAACACTGCATGCTCAGTGCTTATCCGAGAGCTTGTGAAAAAATTCACAAGCTTACTCGGGTGGGACTCGAACCCACGACCTCCTGCTTACTAGTGCAGACGTCTTAACCATTCGACCACCAAGCTTGCCAGGGTTGGCTGGCCGGTCCGAGTCAGGTGTAGCAGCGGGTACTGTGAACTAAAACTGTCATTTTTGTCCAGATCTAACTCTTGACTTGTTTTATACAATATGATTAATACACAGGCAGGCTTCTGTTGAACAGAGACCATGAGTCAAAAATGACCACCGCTGAGGGCTGGGTGGGATTAGGAGAGGGGCAGACGGGGGGGATGGGGGGTAGGTTAGTTCAGTTCACAGGAAATTTCACTCCGTCCTGAAAACAACAAACAAGTGCTCTCTTTCATCCGCCCAATCCAAAAGCAGGAAAAGTCAGCGAGTACAGCCTTCCCCAATGGTTCAGGGACCTATCTTCTCCTAATCCATACAATCCGCATGTCCCTGGATGGCAACATCAACAGGTATACGTCATTCATCCTTCCCCTTGGGAATTGCCAATCTTTTCCTTCCCACACTGGGCATGTATTTGTACACCACACACATTCACATGTAGTGGTGCAATGGGGGGAGGAGCTTGAGTCCCCCTTTTTGGGGGGTGTCTCTTTATCTTTCTGTAAAACAAAGATACAACGGATACCTACAAATACACCCTCCCACAACAGATCCTTCGGTAGGCCACAGTCCACATGTATGAACTTGTATTTTATGGGGGTGAGAGAGGCCACTTAAAATTAAACCTGAAAACAACTAGCCAGACGCTGAAATGTAAACAGTTGCCATACTTTGTACAGACCAGGTGTACAAAAACTCGGGGTCAACATCTACACACAAAAAAAGCTGAAATCAGCTAAAAAGCTGAATTCCCACACCCCTGATTTTACTTGACTTACAGGAGGCAAGGTACCCTGTTCCTATTAGTCTATTTTGAGGTTTGGCCAACACAATAAGAGGGTGATTTTAAAGGGTAAAATCTTGAGTGTTTAGGCCTACCCACTTCGAATAGCACCCCCTTCAGAATTGCATCTGCTGTGCTTCCAAAAGGCTAATTAAAAGTACACTCAAGAGCACAGGCATTCACCATGGGGGGGAAAACTGGACAAAGGTCTTTGGTTCCCTTTCTTGGTTTGTCTCTAACACACTTAGGAAGCTTCATTCCAGTCTGAGCTTCAATAAAAATTTCTTGCTATTAATTGAAAACAAACAAAAGTGAATCCTCTAACAATGTAAATTCAAACACTCATGTAATGTCATATTACGAGTGCAAAAATTATGAACGAACATTGAAGAAAAAAACTAGGAGCAAATAATTTTTGTTGCTGGAAGGGGGTATAAATCCAAGTACATGAAGCGGAAGAAAGTTTGTACAATTTCAACGAATCTGGTGACCATGGTAACACTATCACCAGTAATAAGCAGTGGCCTCGCCCAATGGCAGGAAGCACTGTGCTAACTAAATGTACTAAGCTAATGTTCCATGACGGTCACTCTAGGCAAAACCCAACATAGTGCTTTCCACCAGTGAAAGGGGCCGTCGGGAAAGTCCAGTGGAACAGTCAAATGAAAGCACACTAACATAAAGAAACTGTCTGACCTGTAAGGCATCTCAGAGCTGAGGTCTGGTTCCTTGCTCTGACCAAAGGCCTGGCGCGGTTGCACTGGTGGTGACGACGGGACCGTGCGTCCAGAGGGGGCACTCTGACATCGCTGCGTCTTGTGCACGGCGGTGTCTGACCGAGTGACGTAGACTGTGCAGGGAAGATACCAGGACAAGTTCAGTGAGAAAGAGACATAGTTACTTAGTTTTATGGATGCTTTCGTTATAGTTCCATTTTTTGTTCTACTTCATATTATCTAGTTTATGTACTCCCTTTACATGCAAACTCTGGTTTAGTCAGTCAATGTAATTAATTTGAAACTGTTTTAACATACTCTCGCTGCTGTTCTGCGGAGGTAAGACGAAGTAGTCATCAGCCAATGTTCTGCTTCAATTTTGGACCAATGGTCAGTGGGTAAGTGGTCATGGAGGGCAGTAGCCATAGGTGTACATACAGAGAGTTATGACAACTAAGAAGCCTGGAAGCTATGATGATTTCAACATCTGGTTTGTTAACATCCAACAAAAGAATCAACTACCTGTTTAAATTGCGATTAACCTTATGTCATTTTCAAATCCATTGGTCTGACCTTAGCACATCAAGCCTCCTATTTGGCAACAGAGTGGCATGAGACACCTCCCATCATGCATCTCTCCATGCATGCCTCTGGTATTGGCAAATCCAGCTGACCGGCTGGAAATTGCACCAAAACGGACCATAAACCTGAAAGGAGACAACTGGGTCTATCTATCAGCTCGTGTCGTCATACCTTCCTGGGGTGATATTTCATCAGTCCCCTCCGCGGTGCAGTGATGGTGGCCCAGCAGAGCCTTCCTCCGCTGTCGTTTCCTGAGGTCCAGGAGTCGTCGTCGGTCTGCGGCGCTCTGGGCTCGCTGCTCCTTTTGCTGTCTTAGGATGTGGTGTCTGCAAACACCATCCCCCCCAAGAAACAATGTCAGGGATGGATGTGGTTACCAGTGCCCTAATCTAGTCCATCACAAGTCCTTTCAAAAGTCCTTTTTTTGCAAGTACTAGTCACGAGCAACAGTATGAACGACGACCAAAGAAATGCTTTTTGTAGAGGTTCATTTGGACAGCATGAGACTTGGTTTACTGACTGTATGACGTACAACATGCTTGCAACGCACTAGCACGGCATTGTGAGAACAAGGTGTGGGCTCAACTGCAGCGTCGCTGATTAATACTGTCCCAGACAATCACAGCTCAAGGAATTCTTTAGAAGTTAAGCAATGCTAGCTGGCTACAATGGATGGGAGACCGTGTGTTCCTAACTGAATTGATTATATACCAAGATTGTCGAATGCTGCGCTAAAGCAAGAAATCCCCTCTTATCATTCATTGAGGTGCAAGGCCTTTTGGCTGAGATATGAAGTCATAGGTCTCATGTGTAGGACAAGTGAATAGTACAAATATTCCAACCATCTCTCAACTGGATAGCCCCTCAAGGATCTTAGCTATCCCATGTCCAACCATCTTGAAATTTGCATGCATGTAATGGCGTTTCTTTTAAGTTTACATTCAGTCCAGCATTTCTTCATTCAGAATTTTTGCAATGGTACTGAATTAGGCCCATTTATTTTTTGCCTGTCAATTTCATCAAAATGCTAATCAAATGACAATATGATCAGCAAATTTGCTAATCAATTTTCCATCACTGCTAGCCACACAGGGAACTCAGGTACCATCAATCAATGGATAAAATTCAATTAATACTTTTATTCAACTACTCATTAGCCATTCCAGCTCATTGGCTTCACATGCCAGATTACAATCGTGAATAATGGATGCAAAGATCACAGACAGTACCAAAATGTAGCCAGGTTGGGGCACGGGTTCCACACAGCATACCTGACTATCATTTTCTCTTGCCAGTTCTCCTCAAAGTGGAGGCCATCGTTTCTGTAAATGTTTCTCAGGTCAACAGGACTCCTGAAGACAAAAGACAGCACACAATGTTTCTGTGCTTGAAATTGTGCCCAGGATAAAATCTTACACACAATGAGGATTCGTCAATTAGTTATAAATACCTCAGTCTCCCTATTCAACGTGCAACTTAACAGTGTATTAACATTTGATAATGCCCACTGAGAGGTGATAACGCCCACTGAGAGTTGATAATGCCCACTGAGAGGCGATAACGCCCACTGAGAGGTGATAACACCCACTGAGAGGTGATAATGCCCACTAGGTAAATCACACGTTGGCACCTGGATACGAAACAGTTTAGTCGATTTTGATTGGTCAAGCATCTGTGTGCATGGGGCTTGCCACGTTCACACCAATTAGACAATTAACACAAGGAATATTCCATAAAATAGATCAGGTTGTCTGGGAAAATGACAGTAAAATTCTACAGCAAAATTGTTAGAAATCCATCATATATTGACTTCTTTTGACTCTCTGACTGAAAAGGTATTTATGAACGGAAATAAATATGTGCTTAGGAGACTGAACGCTAATTATGCCCTTGCCTGTGGATTGGGCATTCAACAGTCGCATCCATTCTCCTGAGCCGGTCTTAACCGCTTCATACCAGAGACATGATGCATGGCCCACGAGGCCAGGGTGCCCCAAATTGCAACTTTCTTTTCACAAAAAGTAAATTCCCCGGGTGTTTTCAGAAAAAAGTTCACTTGCTATCAGTCAAAAGTTTGGGTCATCAGCAAAGGTAATTTCATCATTGATGGGAAACAATGGGTTCATTTGGACCCGAAATTGGACCTTATTCATGGATGGGGTGACCGAACTTGGAAACAAAAGACCGAGCCGCTGGGACTTGCCAATGAAGGATTGTACACTGTCAGTGCAGAGTGCTGGCCATTAGCAGAGGTAATCATTTAAATACGGCTTTTGCCCTTACCCAACATATATTTATATTTATGTCATTGTTTTGAAAAAAGTATCATCGTTTGCCGCTGCCAGTGCCCGTGAATTATCAGCGGGGACAAAAAGCGTGCGCTCCACCGATTAGCGATACAATACTGCTGAGTGTTTGTTGGATCTGGCCGCATTGTGCAGTGTTCACTGTGCCGGTGTGCCCGATGAGAATGGTGTGGTTCACCCTTGTGGTCCACATTCTCTGCATAGCAACGCTGGCCATCCAGTGTAGCAACGCACTGGGCTAATTCCCAGAACAAAGAGGAAATTATGCGACACCGCAAATTAATGGGGGCTCTACACTGGGCAACATGCGTGGCTTGAATACTCACTCATCAGTGGAGGTTGCCTGTCAGAATAGAGTCGCCACAGGACAGTCATTCTTTTGGGTGTACACGTCCAGTAAATGAGCATGTGAATTTTTGAAGAATTTTAAAAACGGAAAAAAATGAAAAACACCCAACCAAAGAGCATGAACAATGATCGATAACAGCCCGGCGCAAAGTGGTTAAATGCACGTTTAAGACCAGCCAAGCACATACTTATTCCCTTAATCATCTCCAACCTCCCCCCCAAGAAAAGGATGTGATGGACTTAGAATCTTGCACTCCCTTTCAAACTACCTAATTAAGAATTTCTTGTGATTTGCAGCATTCTAAGGAGAATCAAAATCATTTTTAAACATTAGAATTTCTCCCTTTGTCAGTGGCATATCTGGCCTCGCCACCTCTTGACACACTATGCCACAGTATAGGGGTGGGACCTCTAAGACCTAACAGGAGAATGCTAGAGACAAAAATGAGGGCTTGACTTGAGCAAAGGCTCAAGGCCAGACACCAAAAAAAGTTGATTAAACTTCCGTCTATTTTCACGGATCACACCTAGGCCTCAAGACCATGTTTTATTACTCAAATAGATATTAACATACCCTGGGCAGCTCAAGTATTTGGCTACGGGCGTATCACAGCCATCAAGGAGAGCCTGGTAAATCAATTAGACAGACACAGAAGGGTAAGGGAAACATTAGATCTTCGCTTCTCTTTGCAGTAATAATATTCAGCACTCTAAGAGATCTGAATTCTTAAACACTATCTGCCTGAGCCTCTTGTAAATCTCCTGATAAGATAGCTGAGGTAGTCTTCTCTCAAAGACACCATTTTATTTTCACCCCGTTGCCAGAGTACGTGTACTTCATCATTAAAGAAGCAGCTACGGTGAAATCCAAATTACCCGTATCCTACATCCTACAACTTCACAAGTTCTCATCATTTGGAACTTCCGTACTGTTTGTCTCAACAATGCACGTACCTCATCCTCAAAGTTCACATGAAGGGCGGCACCAGCAGTGTGAGGGCGCTGTGACAATGATGCCCTCCCTGAAAAGTAAAAAAAAAAACGGTAGTCTACTGACAAAATTCCACACACGGACGGCACAAAAGATCTCCAACACCATCCCCCTGAACGCGTGTTTACAATTTACTCACAAAGCATTGTAGGAACTACTAAGCAAAAATGAGTAAACAAAAATGACCAAAACATTAGCAGGTGTCACCCGGTTTTTGTCTTAACCGGATTTAGTCTAAATGAGATATCTTTTCTCCTGTGACATCTTACATACAGTTTAGTCCGCCATAATTTCAGCATCATGCCATCGACTCTCATCCGTTTGAATTAATGACTATTGGTGCATGCCTCCTGAAGTTAACCCTACGGGCAGAATTCCTCTCTCTGGCATCGTTGCAAACTTTTTTTTTTCACCTCATGTCAAGCTCTCGGGATTTTTAAAAAAATTTTTACTGATGTCTCGGGGGCATTTTGACACTAATTTTGGACATCTGGACACGCTGTTCCTTGAAAATACCTAATTTTCCACAGTGGATCATAAAAAAGGCTAACTTTTGCTGCGTGCTCAATGCATGGGTCACCAGGCATGGAAGCGAGCACTATAAATGAGTCAATAGAACCCCTGATTCAATTCAAACTTCATAAATGTTCTTACAATGATTCTGTGACCTGCATACAAAGTTTTGAAAATATTGGTCATGAGACATCAAAAAAACTTTGATCTTTCATGGTTAAGACCCCACCAATCATAAATTGCTTTCGTAATGCAGAGTACCTCCTCATTTGCAAATGAATGACCACTTTTAAGGGGTACCCCACGCCACCATTCACATCCCCTCCTTCTGTTACCCATATCTTACCCTCGGCTGTGTTGGGCCTGGCCAGTCTTCCTTCCATCTCCTCCTGGAGGGGCACCTGCTCCTCCATCGGCACGGTCGGTATGAAGACCTCACTGCCCTTGGTCTGCCTGTCATCGGGTCTGGAATCCCTCATAGCGTGGTGGTCTCGGACGACGTCTGCAGGCCGACTGGGCCGCGGAGGTAGGGTGATGCGGGACTTGGGTCGTGAGGGTGGGGTGAGGGCAGGTTGAGCTGACAAGGAGACTGCCACCTGCTCTGGTGAGATTTGATTTCTGGATGGAGCCCTGGTGCTTGGTTCCTATTTCCGAGGTGATTTGGGGACAAAATGGGTATTACACGACCACATGGACATCAAAATGAACAGGAGATATACACAGAAGCAAATAACTTTCTACAAAAGATATTTCAAGAGAGAACAAGTGGCTAAAATGACAACATTTGGAAGGGTAAAACAGGAAGCCAACAATTTCGCTAAAAAAAGTTCAAGAATTTTTGACTAATGATGTTGGAGAAATTGGAATGACACGTATGTGAACATTTCACTAGAGTTTGACTTTTTTTTCAAGAAAAACCACTGACACAAACTGCAAATGTTACACAAGATATCTTTGGCACGCATACAGACTTAGGTATGTTGCTGGATTCTCATCATAAGCCAATCGCAAGTCATTCACCAACATCAAGTCATGTCTGCCATGAATCTTGTTATCATAGTTCCTCCATAATCAATATATATCAGACTTGTGCTTTGACTGGTGAAAAAGTCAACCATACCTTTGACAGATCTCACACACCAGAACCGCGTGGCTAGGTAGATATAGAATGACTAAAACTCAGTCCTTATCTAACTCAACAGTAGCCACGACCATTTTTGATTTCCAGTTCTCACCTGGTCAGCCTCAATGTCAGAATCCAGTCCCTCCATCTGTGACTTCCGTCCCTTTGACAGACTCAATGCTGACTGCACCGAGCTCCGTGACTGGACGGCTTCGAACCGACTGTCCGGTCGCAGGGATTCCAGCTCGGAGGCTTCCCCCAGACCCTCGGGGTCCGGCAGCATGATCGTGTCTTGCCGGGTATCTGTCAGGGAGGGGCCGGCTCCAGGAGATTTAGATCTGAGTGGGTTGTACTTGTTAGCGATGGCCATTCGGTAGGCCGCTTTGTACATAGTAGTGGTACCTGGCAGGGGGGCAGGGGAAGGAGAGGGTTATGTGAAGGTGGGCGGGGCATGGAGGGGAAGTGAGGGGGGTTAGTGCCATGCAGTATGGTACATGCTTGCATGCGTGGTTCAGTCACAAGCTATTAAACAGACCAGTTCTGAGAGCAAAGTGAATTTGGAAACAAACTGATTACTTACAGAGTATGACTGCCTCCGATCAGAGGTCTCACTGAATCTTTGCAGAAATATGTCAGCAAATAAATAGAAATTTCTTGAATGTTTCATCTTTTCAAAATCATTGTCTCCAGACATTAAACTCATTCCGTAACCTTAAAGGAAAGTGCTTTTTTGTGTCATTACAAATGCGATTATGTGAAATCCACACTTTAACTATGGTTGGTATAAATGAAGAAATACGCGATTTAAAAATTAACAGATTCATAAAAAAACACAGTGTATACTTTGAGCAGACAACAGCCAGCAACGGATCGGCCAGGCACTGTCACAATTTCAATCCTCCAAAGGAAACAAAACCCTAGCATTTTTTACACATGGAAGTGTAGATGAAAAAACAAAGGCTGATAAAAATATCATAACCCAAGACAAATATGCCTTGGATGGATAACTGATAAAAAAAAGAAGAAAATCAAAATAATATCACTCCACACAAGGAAACCAAGCATGTCTAAATTATGTCAAGCATGCAGCTGAAATAGGCGCACTCACACGTCAAAGCTGCGTCAGGCATTCATGGAGTTGGCCCACGTGCAAGTTTACAAGACAGAACTTTAGCATGTGATTTGTATCCCAACCAGAAAGGATCACTCAGGGAAACATGATATGAACAATGAAGAGCAGCACATTTTGTACTAACAAAATCTAGGCATGACGTCCCTAACGAGGCCGTTTGACATCTAGTACAAGTGACTGGTCACTATCCCCCATTTTCATTTAAGAACAGAAAATGTTGTACTCTGAAATATCTTACCATCTCCAAAATCAGAGGCTACATCCACATCGTGGACCGATGATGCTGGTCTCCCGCTGCTTCCACTGGTTCCCGCTGACATCGCTCTATGTATCTCCTCATCCGAAGCACCTGTATTCAACTGCATGGCAATATCAAAACTTCTGCATCAATATTCAGAGCAAGCACACTCATGAGTTTTGGACAACCGGGTGGCAATTACATAAACTGTCACAGCCCACAGCAATTAATGCAGCTTCATATGCTGTGAGGTTGAGAGTTCTCTGGATATTCAGGGCTCAGCAACGACCCAGTATCGCAGACCTATCAAGCAGACAAATCGATCAGATGTCCACGTGCATAAAACAAATCACATGACATTTTGGCAAGTAACCAAGCAATTTCTGTGCTTCAAAGCTCTACGAAATTGGCCCCTGTATTCCAAGCTAACCCACCTCTGCTGCAGATGACGCTGATGCTTTGGGTTTCTTCCAATCGTCAAGGATGGACTTTGTTCTCCCCCTCTCTGGTCTGGCTCTGGCGGATCTGTCTGTTGGCTTGGGGCCTTTCTTGTCCATGGGCTGTGACTTGGTTTCCTTGGGTACCTTGGGCAAACCTGGGATGGACACTCTCTGTTTGGCTTTTGTGGTTTGGTCCGACACCTTTGGGGTTAATGTGATGGATGCACTGCTCGCTGATGATGAACTCACCTGGAGACAACGGTGGACAGTTTCAAGATTCTGATTGGCGTCTTTCAAAATAACCAATTTGATAATTTGCTTCTAGCCAAATCTTTTTTACTAGCCATCATGTACATATTTCAGTAAAAATTCCAGGGCTTATTTTGAGATTTTTACGTTTTCGTGTCTTTGGCAAAATTACTAGAGAATGAGTTGCAAATGGTCTACAGGATGAGGCACTGTTGCCTCAAACCTTTTTTTTTCCTGAGCAAGCACTGTACTTTTTTCTGGGCATAGCAAGTTCAAGAATTTTCGGCTCCGCTCACTAATAAACCATGACAGTTTAGTGAAAAATGGCAAGGCTGGTGAAAAATTGCAAACTTAGATTGTCTGCCTCTTTATAAAATACAATTTGAAATGTGCTTAATAGTCTCTTCAGTCAATTAACTTCACAGAGAGCATTTCATAGAAGAGTATTTTATGAAACTCTTATTGTCATTGCTGTTTTAGGAATGCCCCATCTTTGACTACAATTTTATTAAAAATCTTATTTCAGTTCTACCGACAAAAGGCTTATCCAAACTTGAAAGCAAATCTTCCAAGGATGAAGGAAATTTGCTGGGACAACTGATCATATCATGATGAAATTTTCAACACAGGAAATGTTTACATGAAGAACAGACCTGAATTCATGAAATGGCTTTCCCTAATTCAAATCTGTACCTTTTTGGTAATGCCACTCTCAACTTTTTCGGTAGCACGGCTCTCCGCTTTCTCAGCAACACCGCTCTCAAGAGACACCGTCATCTTCGTGGCCGTGGTTGTGTCTCCCGCAGTGGGGGCCGTGGGTGCACTAATGACAGCCTCTGACGATGGCTCGGCGGCAAGCTTGGCCCTGTTGGCGGCCGCCCTCTCCCCCACACGCACTCGGTCCCCCTTCTTCAGTTTCTTCTTGGCGGGCGCTTTCATCCGTTGCTGTCCCGACAGTTTCTGATCCAATGCAAATGAAAAAAAAAGATCCGTCCCAATAACCATCGAACAAGACAAAACGAATGAAGGCATCTGCTATAAAACACTACACCATTTACTTTGATTCTCTGAACACTTGGAGCAAGAAAACCCCAAATCCTCCAAAATCCATGACAGTGCAGGAAACTATGGCCATACTATCTGAGATTTTAAGGGGCATCAAGTCCAATATAAAGTAGCCGTGGTTGTAGTTTGAGAGTAACAGCAAGTTGATTATTTCAATTCCCGTAGTCTTTCCTCATAATTCCTTCCTACTTTTAGGTACCCTATCAGCGTCTGCCCACTTTCTATGCCCACTTTCTAACAACCAAGGGCACTGACTATCCTTTTGGCAGGTCTCAGAACTATTACCTTGACCTTGTCTTCAGCTGTCTTGATTTCTGCTACAGTTGCCATCACAGGCTGTGAGAAGGGAGAGAGTAAAGTTTCCAGACAATTCAATCGATGTCAAAAGACGCTCAAAAACAGGTATTAAAATCAAAGAATTTGAAAGAGAGGCATGCTGATTTGCTTGTAAATAATTTGATTGTGTCATCTTCAGAGGCCAATCTGAAGTTGATTGATCTTAGCGGCCTGGTGTGAGTCTGATCACAGAATTTCATTGGTGGCCAGCTTGCTCCAGCTTTGAGATCTGAGCAATGATTTGAGGGACTTTGATAATTACATAAATGCGCAGGTAAAACTTTAGCCTGATTTGGCGTCCAGTAAAATTACAGTGGCAAGCGAACACTGACAAGTTAGTGGATCTAGGCACTCTTTTGCTGGTCTGAGAACCCCAAACCTTAGGAGGCCCAAGAAATAGCCATGTAGCCTACAAATGACTTCTTAGGCAATTTTCTTTATGAAAAAAACATCCGCTGGCCTAACAACTAGCAAGTATTGAAGATCAAGTATCATTGCGTTTGGCAGCCTAAGCAGTGACGGTTTGCTGACCCTCACGTAACCTCGCACCCACCTGCGACGTTCGCTCCAGCTTGAGGGGCTTGGGTATGGCAACTGGCGTCTTCTCCTTGAGCAGTGACTTGGCATCAATCTTCATTCTAGACAGGCTGTACTTGGACACTTCCTCGGGCGGCTGTTTGAGATCCGAGAGGCGGATGTCGCCTGCCTTGATGTCTTTGGCTTCTTTCCTCTTCACGCCCTCCAACTCGGACACTGTGAGGAGTGAAACGCAATAAAGAACTGCTGTCACTCTGGAAGGAAGACGTTCTGATTGGTTATGACTTGATCGCATTAAAAATTACAACTAGAACAGTAGACTGGGATCATATGTGTACTGGTTTTGGTCAGCTGATATGTTGCACAGCTCGGTTGAAAATGTATCTTAAGATAACTCAAACATCCTCGCCAGCACCAAAATAACAAATATATGTGTGTATCCCAGCGCTACCAAACGTTTGGAAGTGAACCAGCAAAAGTGACTGAAAGGGATGCTGGCAATCTGGCATTTCCTCTGGGCCCTAAATACGGCACTGTACATTTCTGCACATTCAGTCGAAATGAGCTGTAGTTATTGGTTGTGTCCGTGTGAAGCCTGACTTCTCCAGAGCCAATCAGGGGGCATATGGGTAATTAAATAAATTTTATGAGTTTAAAGCACACTTTGTCATTTCCAAGAGTGGTGAGTTAATGCGAATTACCTGCCAAGCAAATAGAGACAGTCTGAAATCAATCTCAGTGATATTTCCACGTTAAATTACACAGGTCAGGTGTAACAGGGACACAAACATGTCACGTTTGGACCCTGAATTTATAGAATGACCCCAAATGCCACATTCCCTCATCAAATGGACAGGCCAAATATCACCACAAACAGGTCCCATAAAGACCCAGTAGCGTATGTGTACACCAGACAGCTGTGCATCAATGATGATGTACCATACCTGACATCTTCACTATTAGCTTGGAGCCTGCTTTCTCATCTTGGCTTTCTTCTCCTTCCTTCTCCGCCTCTTCTCCAGAATCATCTTCAATTTCGCTCTCATCCTGACCAAAATATACGTGTACAAATATTCACCAACAGTTACAGAATTTGTATCAGTGAGAGGTAACCGAGACCTGACTTCTCTGACGTGAATGGTCTGAAAAAACGGTCTCCGTCCGCATGCTTTCGACAAAGAACTAAACTAACTTAACTGTCCTTGGTTTTTTACAGAGTCATAAAGCATTTGAACAACTTTTATTTCTCTTGCAAACTACGGGCTTTCACATGACGGGAAAACATGGTGACGATGTTCCCCGTCTAAGAATTCAAAACTCTTACATGAGGTTTAAATCCTTACAAACTTGCAACAAGAATCTGTGAAATTGTAATTGGCCTAATATCGGCTTACGTTTGAATAACTCTGCAACCATGTGCAGCTCTGATACCATAAACGTTTGACCAGGATTCATCTCTGCCCCTCAGGGCAGTTTTTTAAGGAAAGTGTCAAGCAAGGTGTAAGGGGTAGCACACCAACCTCCGAGACGTCAAATTCACTGGGGGACGAGGGTGGCGAGGGGGTAGGGGACGGGCCTGGCGAGGTGCCAAACTCAGGCATGTCAAAGTCCTGCTGCACATTGTCGGTTTGGGTCAGGTTTAACCTGCTGGATCTGCTCTGACGTTTTCTTGCCAGAGAAAGAGCTGCGAAAGACAAGACGTGTGGAATTTGGCACCACCACAAGAAAAAAAAACCCGGAATATCTTCATTACAGTTCCAGTGCAATGTCTGGGATATTTGAGATTTGAGCTTCATAAGTTCAGAGACAGTTCTGAAACATTCAGATATGTAATAAAGTGAGTTCATCTGCAGCCCACCATGTTGAAGTACATTGTATACTAAAGAATACGTATTAATTAATTATTGTTACTGTTCTTATAATGTGTGCTATGGGAACAATGTATAAGATAAGCCGGAAACAGACGTTGGAAGGTTTACTTCCAAATCTGCACATTTCTTCAAAAGCATTTTTTTAAGTGCTAGATGTAATAGGTCAAATAAAACAACAGGTGATAAAAAAACTGGAAGTTGTGCAGAGTATTTACGACCCTAACTTGGAATTATGTCATTTAACTATAATCTGTACTTACGACAATGAAATTTTAACTTGAACGAGATTTGAAATGTGGAAGAGAAAATGGTTGATTGAGACATATCTGCAAGAAATCTGGAAGCGCAAATGTCCAATAAGGAACACGAGCTCCTCAAACCCACCTTTCACTTTACTTGTGATGTCCTCTTTTCTCGCTTCCTTGCCAGAGGTCAAGAGGTCAACGGCAGAGAGGCGTCTTGGGGTCAGGTTAGGGGACATGTACATCTCGGTGGGCGCCACGGAGAACTCACCGTCGGATCCCTCATCGCCACTCTGAACACCGGGAAAATAACCAAACAGACTTGGGGGTTACTTCTTCTCAGGTCTAATAACGTTGAGAGTGTAAGGTGTACCATAGAACTCTCTATCCAGACCTCATAAGTACCCCCACAAATGGTAGCAAAGGTATCCATATATGCAAGAAGGGACCTTTCTTTTTAAAAAATTTCAGTGCAGGAAGTCAGAGGGGGTACTGAAGGTAACTGCCCTGATGCTCTGGCCTTTGCCTTTATAATACCCAATGAAATGTTCCCGTACACAAGTTGAAAAACGAGTGCCTTTTCAAACAGAAGTTGAAGTTCTTGCCCTAAAAGCTGACTGCAATTTTGAAGACCTGGCCACGTTTTGTCGAAAGCTAACCCCAAGTTGCCGACACGTGTTGTCTCAAAATGCAGTTGCAAAGAGATAATTGCTTTATTCCCAGAGACAAGTAGATGTTTCTAATACAAGTGCCATCTGCAAATAAGAAATTGTAGTGTTCTTTATCACTCAGTGTTTAAAACTCAGAATCACCTGGCCTGAGGAGACATGGGATGATGACGGTGACGCCCGACCGCCTCGGAAGCGCTCGCTGTAATCTAGATTGTACGGGACCTGGACAACGTGAAAGGAAATGAAGCCCTTGAATATCTGCCAACGATAAACTCAACGTGTTCTTTGCTGCAAGATTGAGAAGTTATCAAGCTGAAGGTACAGATGCACAGATTGCCCGGACAAAGGAATTGGTAGGAATAATACTAACAGTCGTCTTTTTGACATTTGATCTGTTGTCAGAAGAAGACAACAATATTAAGCAGGTATTTGGTCCACTCTCTGCCTGAAATCCTTGAAGGCTAACTAGTGAGCAAAAATTGTCAGCCTAAGAAACATCAGAAATAAGTACAAGACAGAGAGGCTCTCGAGAATTTTAATAACAACCTCAAGTTCAAACAGTTCCAGGGATAAAAAACCTTTCTTTGGTTTTGAATATCACAGACAACCCACACCCATACGTAATTAAACTGACACAAGCTGGAGTATTGCTTTAAAGAATAGCAGGGATTCATCATGCAAGAGTGTTTCTACAAACCAAGTAATTGTCCAAGTCCAATGGATCAGGGTTTGCTGCCGCCCCTTCGTAGCGCACTGCTGGATCTTCATAGATCTCAGACTCTGTTTGCAACAGGAAAAGTGCAACAGAGCCGTTTTACATCTTTTTATTTCCTTGACGGTGACATTGATTTGACAGCTTTCTCCCCAACCGAACTTAAAGAACAAATGTCCCAATCATGGGGCAGAAAATAAACCAAGCTGAACCAATGTAGGTCACAAAACAATGTTGGAAAGTTCAGTTCAAGTTTTTGGACCGAGTGGTCTTTGTGAATGGCAATCAGAGGCTGCTGGCCCCAAGTGTACCAGTCCTTGCTATCTCTGGGGGTCTGCCCTATCACTCCTCACTGCTACAAGGGATAGGTTTTAAGGACCGGGTCAATACACTTGCTATATCTATCAAAAGGTTAGAAGAGAGTTCATGATTTACCTGTTTCATGGTTTTCATCTGGAAACCGGGTCTTGCTCAATGAGGGTAAAACTAGGGTTAAAATAAGAATTAATTAAGTCGTAATCATCAACAAAAAAAACTTTTCTATCACCAAAGACGCATTACAAAGCGATCCATAGATACGAAGATCATCAAATTCAGTAAGCTGTCATGCAATCAGGGTCGACCGTGAAGCTCTCAATTCTGAACTAGAATTTGTAAAAACTGTAACTTTTTAATCCACTTGCTTTGGTATCAGAAACATAATCCATTCAATAAACATTGCCGTACAATAAGAAACAAACAAAATACAGTTTTTGTCAACAATTTGTAATAACAAAAATAAGTTTTAATTGCAGAAAATCATCCCAGTACAAAATTGACTTGCACAAAAATTTTCTCAGCTAAACCATGTAACTCGCACAACAAAGGTAGCTACAAAACATCTGCAGGTATTGGATCCATAGCCACACGAGACTTACTTTTGGCGTGGTCTATGACAAAGAGGTGGTTCAAATACCCCATCATGAGGTCACCCCTGGTGTTGATTAACCGTGCACAGCTGATGGCCTCGTCCAGGGCGATCTCCGTCAAGAGCAGCTTGTCTTGGTCCCACACCTTGACCGCGCCGTCCGAACTGAAACAGGAATTCAGACATATCGTGAGAAATTCAAAGAAGGCTGATCATCCTTTCACTTGAGAGGAAAATTTTGCTTTTTTCATATTCTAATAAAACGTAATGTCACATTTGCAAGATCCGCCTCGTCTCACTTCACTTTCTCCCACAATAGTTTATTCGATGATTCCATACACTCACTCACTAGTGTCGCATCTTTGTCATTGGACAGTACTAAAAACTAGATGTTTGTCAAGAACTTTTCCACTGAGGACATTTTGTTTTTCCATGGGAGACTTTTTCTTTAGCGAGAACTCAGCGTGTTCCCATATTTGCGTTGTTTGTCTATTGCAATTGTTTTTCTGTGGCATTTTTTCCATTGAGGGGTTAAAATTACTACAAAAAGATTTGGTGGGTCATATTTTATTCTGTATTATCTAACCTGCAAGAAACAAAAATGCCTAGATTTGGACAGGAGTCCACAGCTATGATAGGAGCAGTGTGGTCCCTCCGTCGGCTGTCTGTGGCCTCCTCCCCTCCATCATTAGTGGAATAGCCCATTATGTCGGTGGCAGGCTTCAGGTGATGCAGTGTCAAACTCCCATCGGAGTGGCCAGTCAGTAAGCCGGAGCCCTAGCCAATTGCAACAGATAAATGGTTGTCAACATGCATGAACAAGGACTCGTTGTGTGGCCTTCTCAAGCGTGCGCTGCTTTGCGAGTTTGATCAATAAACCAAATTATGTTTACGGTGCAAAATCAGCCATCTGCAATCCAAGGAAGAATTTTGGAGGACCAGATAAACATTTTCTTGTCAATATATTCAACGTTTACCAGTCTTGCAGCACCAGTCACGTCTCTGGGCACCCCCACCAAATACTGAAGCTCTAGGCTCGGCAAAGACCAGAACTGATACACGTCTTCGTCTCGCAGGTGGCTCTTGGCGACGAGGGCACTGTGGGCTGGGTCATACTCCATGTCGATGATCTGTGGGACAGTGGAAGCAAAGAGAAGAGACCAATGAATATCTGACTGAGGCAAGATGGTGGATCAGTCAAGTTCCTGCCTTCTTTGACAAAGAGACATTACACGATATTTATACATTATACCTCATCCCCAAGAGCTTGTGGAAAACTGTCCTCACATTCAGGTGTTTAGTTCTGTGGGTGATATATCAAATACGACTGTTCAAATTCTTGGGACTAATACGTAAAATGAAAAATTTGCAGATTGATCACATATGCGCCAACCAACGATGTGCGCGGTATGAATTTTGACAATGTTCGTTTTTGGACGTGCTCCGACAAACCCTGACTTACAGCACCGTGGGCGTCATGGCAGTGCATCCACGATGCAGGCTGATATCACCATCATCTGTTTCTCACTGTGCCTATGCGGCACAGGTTTCACTTCTGAAGCAAGTTTTGAAAGCAAGCTCTCTGGAGGATTTGCTATTACGGTAACAAAAAACTGGGGCGAACACGCTGGCCGTCCGGCAAGGGCCAGTGATATTTTGTACTTCTTGATGTAGGTTGTCGAAAATAGGCTCAGAAAGGGAGGAGAACAGTGCATGCACAGACACAACAGAGTTTAAACGCAGTGTAAATCCCCGGACCAATACTCACTGCATCTTTGCTGGCTTGTAATTCACAGTAACGGTGGCCATACTTTATCGGATCCATGAACAGAATGCGGCCGTCCTGCGACAGACAATGAAATTATTTCCATCTTTAATCCTCCAAATTTGGACCACATAATCTGGATACAGCCTCTTGCTTTCCTAAGGAATTTGAGGTAAGACAATACCTGAACACTAGTCCAAAACTTCATGAAGTTTGACCTCAAAAGGACAAAACTGCTTTTGCCACCTTTGGGATATCTTCTTCAAACTTCAGCAAAATTACAGTATTTCACACAGATTAAGTCCGTTTCTCATAAATGCAATCTTCACTCGAAGCTCCTATCTGAAGATTGCTACTGGGGCTGTCTTGGAGGTGATTACAAATAATCCTGCAGGGGATTATCCTAATCCCCGGCAGTAGTATCAGTAATTGTCAGTAATTTAAGCCTGGTCCTTCATTGGTCATGTTGGTGATCAAGTCTCTTTCACTTGTCCTTATTTTTCACCTGCAGCCTTCATGTATCTTTCCCCTTGTCCCCCGTCCCTCCCAACATTCCATCCTCACCTTTTCCTGTTTTTCTATGTGTTGCTTTTGGGAATATAGCTAGTGCATGTGTGGTATATTGTATTTATTTTATGTTTTATGTGTGTAGTTGTATTTTGGTTGGTTTTAATTTAATGCATTTTTAGTATTTATGTATATTTTATCAAAAAATCCCTGTGATTTGCAGGCAACTGCTGTTGGTGATTTAAATAAATGACTAAATAAATAAAAAAATAATGCCTGACAAATTCTTCTAAATCTGCCAGATTTAAAGACAATCTGGCAAGATTGAAAAGAGTACAGGATTCCCCCCCCCCAGGAAGTGGAGAGATTTTAGAGGATTCGGGAAAGTTCTAAGCAAGCAAAAAATTCCCAGGGAGTTCAGTTGGAGTCAAAGCTCACCTGCAAACCCAGCACCAGAAAGTTATGGTTCAAGGGACAGACAAATCCTTCATCCGCCCAGTACATGACAGTGGAGGTGACCGTAGTGATGGAAGTGCAGGGAGCTGGCGTCTGGCTGACCCCTCTGCCTTGCAAGGTGGCCCGGTAAGTGGGCAGGGCGTGCCCCAGCTGGACCGAGGAAAGGCCTTTGCTGGCCGGCTGAAGCCTGAAGACACATTACAAATGACATAAGGCACAGGATCAATTGGAACCAGATCCCATGAAGTGAGTCGTACAGGCACATTTTCTGCGAGTTTCAGCGGTCTTTCAACCTGAAGTAGTTTTAGTCACTCAACTCATTTTATAAGAAGGGTCATTTTGTGAAAGGATACGCCTGCTAAATCAGTTTCAGGGTCTAATTTATGGACTAGAGGTGATTGCTGTAAAAAAACGAGTTTGGAGTTTCAGTGTGGAGTAGAATTTCCTGGACACAAAGCTTTCCAAAATCTTCTTAAAATCAAACCTACCCTTTCCTAGCTTTCTAATGGATCAAGGCCTGTCTTATTCTGCTACAAACACTGGGCTGGGTGTCTAAAATTGTGCAAGTCCTAACAATCCATCTGGGATCTGATTTTTTCCAACAGTGCATGGAGAGAAATGGTCTCTCCATAGGATTCTTTTGGTGGCATGCTGCACTGTGAAACATTACTGCTCAGGCAATTCACCTTGGTGTTGTAGGAGCAGCGGAGGTAGCCCGACTTCCCGCAGACCGTCCACGGTTGACTTTGTCCTGCAGACGCTCCACATCCCACACGGCGGTGCGGCAAGCCGGGTCCGTCCTGCAAACAATGTAACGACCAAACAAAGATTGGGACCAAAATGTGAAAACTTGATTCATGTTCAAAACACCCAACTCGATCAAGTTTTATTACAGTCCAGTCTGCATAAAGACTTTCACTGAAGGACAAGTTATACAGAATGTGAAACTTAAGCCGTGGTCACACAGCAGGCAACTTGAATCTTGTAATGTTCTAAGGGCTGCCATGGAAAGCCTACCAGTGTTTCTGGTGGATTGACCATTTCTCAAAATCAGTGCAAACTGCGACAGGTTTGATTCACGAAGGGAATACTGCCAACTTTTTTTCACTTGGAACTCCAACGACCAGCACAGGCTTCACACATCAGGCGCCCAGAACCGTTGAAACGCAACGCACAACTTGAAAGCTGTTTTAGCACAATCAAAAAAAATGTTCCTCCAGATTGCCTCGGCAAGTCAACCGGTGTTGCCGGAGGGTGGACCGCATCTTTTCAGAAAAAAGCAGCGACAACTTGGATTTAGAACCAGTTGCTGCAAACCTACGTTTCTCTGTTCAATGCCTCAGCGAACAACACATACCTCATTGTGTAGACCCAGATTTCTCTGGGGTTGATCAGCAGGAACACCGTGCTGCATTCCCGGTTGTAGGTGACCCCAAGCACCTGCTGGAGAGGAGAGATGGAGGGTGGAGGGAGGACTGTCGACAGGCTCTTCTGGTCCCTCATAGAAATCAGACGAACACTGCAAACAAATAAACAGTGACAGCAAGATCCTATTTCACATGGACGGAATGGTTGAAAGTAATGATACAACTCTTTGGGGTTTATGGAACATCTCAAAAGTCGCAACACACCCATTCACACTGGGACACTCTTTTACAAAGCACTGGAGTTCCCTTTGGAAATCTGCCGTATTCATGGTAATGGGTCGATCACTAGTGAAGCCTGCAAAGGCATAGACCAGTATTCCTGTTTGGGAACAAACCTTGTTCCCAGTAGGAAAAAGCAGGTGATCCCAATCAGAAATGAGCAATATTCTTGACAGAACACTCTTAGGTGCTCCAACGTTTGAGACATTTCCATGGTACAAAAACTTTTTAACTTTGCTTCATTTTTTCCAAGCAAAAGTGACCAGCACACCAAACAGCAATGATGATTTCAACTGTGAATCCAAAAACTGCATTAAATATCAAAATTGGAAACTGCGCATAATTAACACTGTAATTTGTCTTTCTTTGCATGCATGCCTAACCTGCTGTCCTCTCCCACAGCGACCAGCCTCCTCGTCTTCCCTTCACAGCCGGCGACGTGCAGTGAGGTGACCCTGCAGCGTGCCAGGGCGTAGAACTGTACCACGTGGTTCAGGTGCCAGACTGCCAGGTCGCGGTGCGTGGCTGTCCACAAGAACTTCTCCCCCGTCAAGCCGATCCACTCAATGCCGTCTGTTGACATGACAATCCTAGAAAAGGAAAAGATTCAGCAATCAGGGTACAGTCTGAAACATTCGAAGATTATGAGCTAGGTACATGACAACACACACGGCAGAAAAATGTAAAAACGTCACTGTTATATTGGCCGTATATTGACCATCACTGACTTATTGATATACAGCAAAAATCAACACACACACCTAGAATACATGGGTAAAAATTCAAAAATATGCCAAGTCAAGTCCAAAAGTTTCCAGTCTTTTTATACCCAAACGAAAACTGGTCAAAACCTGTTAATGGAGAGAAAGCTCTGAGACTTACGTGTACATGGGCTCCATGATGTCCAGTGACCACATTCTGACTGTACCGTCAGTGGAACTGGTCAGAACTAGGGTGGACGTCTCGGGATGGAGGACTACCCCGGTCACTGACCTAGAGTGACCTCTGAACGTGTGGATGTGACCCCCGGTCATACTCCAGACTTTCACTGTCACGTCAAGCACAATGAAGCGGAATATTTGAAATAAAACTAGCAGTTAACACGCTTTGGTGCTCGCGTCTGTCCGAAAATGATAAGGGTGTTGCAACATTCGCAGACACAAATTCAATTTCTAGCCTTCATCTTGCTTAGTTCTTGACAATTTTGCATCGCTCTGCAAAAAAATTCCCAGGATGATGCGCGAGAACACGACCAGCATAACGCTGTCATGGAAATAAAACACTACAAACTTCCAATGCATGCATCTGAGTCATTTACAATATGACCACTTCTACAATAAGACTCCTCAAACAAAACAAAACACAGAGACAAAGGGAGAAAGACCACCAGGAGCAATCCCATCAAAAACAATCAAGTAACACTTTTTTTTTAATCTGTTATGATCAACAGCTGTCAGCTTATAACAATCGTCAGTTTTTTTGTTTCTTGGGTCATTTCATGAGGTTGGGGCACAATTTGTGACGGTGTCCTTGTTACATCCAAAATTTTTACCAACTGTCATGACCTGTAGAGTAGGTCATTTACTCTGTAAAAATAACACACACCTCTGTATTCAGCCTTGCAAGATGTATAACAATGTCAATTTGGAATCCACATGCAGGGAAATGGCTGTTCATTTTTACGGAACCCATGTAACAATTAACACTGTCGCATATTGTGCCCCAACCTCATGGAATGACCCTCTTACTAAATGTGGTCATACATGTCCTGAAATGTCACTTACCATCACAGTCATTGGAGCACGTAATGAGCGCTCTTGCTAGTGGCGAATACTTGCAGCCGTTAATCTGAGACTTGTGGGCACTTGAATAAGAAAATAAATATATATATATTTAATTTTTGGAAGGAATTTGGAGGCTTTGAGTTGCTCGGGGATGCTGAACATACCAGTCGAACGTGACCAATCCACTTTCATTTGCGTCACGCTTGAGCTAACAAGCCATATGCATGCAAATAACAACACAAACAATAGTAGACTGGTAGCCTGGGACCAGTGTGTTTTCCACCAACAAGCGTCGCAAAAGTCTGCCGTTCCGATACCAAAGCAACACCTTCACGGCCTCATTGTCGTTAATTATTTAATCAGCCCTACTCACTCCACCAATCGGAAGAGTGGCTTGCCCTCTGTGTTGTAGCACAGCACGTCGGTGTCTGAGCAGCAGTACAGGTGCTGCAGATGCTGCTCTAGCTCCACCTTCCTGATCCAGCCCCCTTTGATCCCACTCAGCTCTCTCCTGTAGCAAAGCGAAAATGGGGGTTTTTGAGCAAAGAAAATGCACTGAAATGACATTGAAGCCATGGGCTCTCGGGTTGTGTTTTGTGCCATCACAGCCAAAATTGGTTCTTTTGTTTGTCTTTTGGTTAAATTTGGAAGGGAGTTGGAGTACTGCATGATCGGGCACAATTCTTGCCCCAATTAACATTGCTGAAGAATCCCCACCGACGAGAATCAACCCAACCAATTCTTGGTTATGACCATCAAAACACACCCTCAAATACTATAGATGATTTTGCTCTCCATACAGAGCTTATCCTACGCCATGTCCGTGAGCTGTGGGTCCCAACAACATGTATGTGCTTCAGTGGGTAACGAGACAATGTTACAGGGGTACTAAGTTGGTGAGCGAAGGATTTGGCATCTGGGTTGGGAACAAGTACCCAATCAGCAGCGAAAAAGAAAGTGGCAGGAGGGCAAAGACTTCAACCGTTAGCCCGGTGCTCACACAGAGGTTGGTCGTATGTATTCTGAGTTTTACCAGTATGTGCAAAAACACACTAACTTCAGAAAAAGCCCGTAGTTGGCCATGGGTTTGATTTCTGTCCACACTTGATCAGTAACTTGCTTGAATTCCCACACCTGCATGCCAAACAAAAAACAGTAAAACAGAAATAAAATTTATGTCATTAAACGCACTCTCGAAGTACGTGTACTTTGCCCAGCTGTAACTCTAAATTAAAACTTGCTTCAGAATCTTCAGTCTTTTCATCAGGTGTCTCTCAGTTCCGTAATGGCAAGTCTTCAAATATCTTCAACCATCATCATCACTTTATTTGGGATTTGGGGGATACGTCCTTTTCACATTGCACACTTAAACACCCCCCCCAAAAAAAAATCACCCTGAATTTTTGCAGTCACAACCCTTTTGCTTATTTGTCTTTTTACTAAAGGTTATTTCAAGACTACTGAAAGTGCATAGTTGTAAAAGCCCTGCAATCTGGTTTGGAATGATTTAAGATCTAACCTTGGTTCCCTTGACGCCGCCAGTGATGAGTTCATCTCTGACTGGGTTGAAGATGAGAAACATGACCGAGCTGAGATCGGACGCAACGTTACAGGTTTCGTCAAAGTCCTTGTTCAATACCTGTGCACAACACATAGGCATTTGCAGGAACAAAGAAGTTCATAAATCTATGAACTTTTCCAGTCACATGCATACCTAGGGAAAATTGTCTAACAGATCAGCCATCCATCACGTCGTAAGTTAATGTAGATTGCTATTTATGCCGATGCAATGCTACTTTGTGTTAATGATGATCTGTGAAATGGCGTGCACAGTCAGTCAGACCTGTCATTTCTTGTACTGTAGTCACCACGTTTTAGCAGAGTTTGCACGTCCTACACAAAGCTGCCGTACATACATGTATGCTGTAGATCTATGAGCAAGCCCTCAATCTCATCTGGCATAAAAAAAAAACAGCTCTCACCTTGAGCGAAAAATCTTTGGCAAGACAGAAGTACACGTTGTACTTCCTGGCATAAATGATGTTCCTCAAAAGCTTGTTCACATATTTGGGATAGCTCAGGCTCCGGTTAACTGCGAGTACAAAGGAGGCAATAGTCATGATTTTTATAATCTACTTTGACCTATGTCTGGATCTGAGTGCTGATCTGATTGAACACAAAATGAAACACAGTGAACAAAGCAAACAACTAAGTTTCCAAACCTGCTCGGGAATTATAGTGCAGATTTTCTAACAAAAACCTCTGGGTTTTTTGTAATTAGTATTTTCTAATTAAAAACTTTTTATTTAGAGAATGAATATTTGCAGGTACATGTTCATGTACCTGATATTATGATGCAAGCATATTCTTACCAGTGTGTTCAATGCCATCTTTATCCCATGTTGTAATGCCTCTGGTATCGAGGAAGATAAACTGTCTTGTGCGTGGGTTGTATGTGACTGGAAAGGAGGAAATACCAGCTGTCGTTGAAGATCTCTACTACCAATTTATCAACAATGATTCAAAAGGGGTAGGTTTCAAATCGACTAGGCAGAGAGTCCTTTGTCGATGTGGACGCACCGCAGGTTATCAACAGCCTATTTCATGTACATGTATCATTATGGAAGGAACCATTCACATGAAAATAATTGTATAAGATTTCAATGACCATTTACATTGCGAGAATGGCAGCCAATGGTGAAATGACAGTAACAATGAGATTTTAAAATTTAGGCCAACTAGGGTCGTTTGAGTGTAACTGAATTGCATGTGCACATAGTTAAAATGCCATTAACTACTGGTTGAACTATAGTTCTACCCAAACTTGCCCAGTCCTGAAGTTGTGGTTTTACCACCTGTTCAACCAAACTCAATTAATTTTGCATGTAAATGCGGCTACCATTAGACAAATTTTGATGATGGTCTGAGCTTACCATCGACAAGATCGGTGAGTTTCTTGCTGTGTTCGTAGTAGTTCCTTTGCTGGAAGCCACTGGGGAAACTGGTGTAGCTGGCAGCAGTTTTCGGACCGTCGTCCCCGTTGCCAACATGGCTGATCTTGCGCATGAGCTGTTGCACCACGGTCTCCTCACTGCTCAAGCTCTCCCCATCCTTCCAGACGCTGGCCGAACTGGAAGTGGCGTCATCTCCCATCCGGTGCTGGAAATGCACGCTTGCCAAACGCGGTCTGTTCAACTCGGACGGGTCTGCCGCGCCATCGTTGTCTGGCGGGTCCTGACTCAATCCTGCCTGGGAGCCAGGCTTTAGAGAGCCATCTGGTGCTGTGCTCTCGGACAAGAGACCCTGGCTGTCGCCGTTAACCCGGCCTTCTGACAAGTGGAAGTGTCGTGTTGTCTGGTTGCTGGTGAGAGCATCCTCAGAGGATCCGTTGGCAAGTCCAACTTCGTGAGTCATTTCTCCCAGGATTGCCTTGTTATTACATTTTAAGATCAATCCCCTGGCAAATGTTACTCCTTAAAACCAAAACAAAGTTTCGCGTCTTAAAACCATTTTGGCATATCTTTGATTGCCCGTCTCCACCCAGTGTCCAGAATTACTGGGTACACAGAAATCAATGCCCATTACTCATGGGCTTAAATGTCAGGCTTGAAAAAATTAAACACTGTTTTTCCACAAAAACATTCTTTGTTCTCTAGGCCAGATCACATTTCACAGAAGTGTATTTATCAAATTGTCGCAAACTGTACTTTCATTTACACAGTAGGACTTGTTTTATTTTCTCTCAGGCCATCTTCACATCTTTTCAGAATCTGTGAACAAACAAGAAACAAATATCACTCAGTACAAATCATTTTTCTTGTTTATGACAGGACTTTCCAAAATGAAAAGCTAAATCTTGAATTCCCTCTTATCGGGACTGTCAGTCTTATTCAACGGATATTTGTTATACATGTACATGTAAATGGTACACACCCTCAAACTCAGCCCCAGTGACATACCCGAAGGTGTGGATGTCTCTTGAAAGCCAAACATACCTGTGAATGCGAGGCCTAGTTAACTGGAGGAATAACATGTACATGTGTATCGCATGCAAGTGAGCAAATGTAGGACCAAGCACATCTTGCCCATCAACAAACACTACTTGGTGACCACATCGAGACACATTCCTGACGGATTTTTTCTCAAGGACCCCTGGAACCTTTTCACATCACTAGAATTGATTAATTGATTGGTGTGATCTGGACTCTCTGGGATGGCTAGTGATTGGAGATAATCCGCCAACCATGCCCCTTAATCTTCCAAGGCTTATTTCAGCTAGGACCAAAAACCAATCGAAACTGCTGGGGGGAGTTAACTTCACAATACTTTCTTTTGCTGGAATCAATGCAGACAGCAGATGTCATATTCTTGAAAATTCCCAGTGAAGTCATTCAATGTTCTAAAAAACACCTGTGCTATTTCTTCATTCTAGGGCCATGGACATCTGCAGAGAATAATAAACTTGAGAAATCCCAGCCCATTTACAAGTATACTGGTCACCCTGTGTATTGCCAGGATTCTTTCCATGGGGAACCATTTGGGAGGTGGGGTTAAAAACAATTTACATGTACACAAAAGCAGGAGGAGGTCAGTATTTAGGTTTTTTTCCGAGCAAATTGGTGATTTCCATCCAATTTTCATCAGTGTAGTATTCAAGTGATCGATTCCTGACTGGAAATGTCCAGCTTTTAACATTTGCAATGTTCTCAACCAAACTTAAATATTTCCATCTGTGAAATTTCTTGATGAGGAGAGGCAGCCAAAAAACCAATGCATGTAGTAATGACAGTGCCATGGGCGTTGCCAGGATTTTTTGGAGGGGAAGGAGGCGATCTACTCTTACCGGGGGAGGGGAGAATGGGGGAAGGGGCGAAAGCACTTACCAGCTAAAAAAAAAGCTGGAGGGAGTCACTTTTGCATTTTTTTTTAATTTTCAAGCAAATTGGTGATTTATGTCCCATTTCATTCCCAATTTTTTCCACTTTTTCTGCTTTTTTCCCTCATTTTGTTCTGGTGTTATTTTTTCCAGGGAAGCACTGTGCCTTGCCCCTCAGGCCCCTGGAGGGAAGGAATTTTAGCATACAGACGTCTCTAATTTTCCCTCGGGTGATTTAGTATTAGCCATCTGAAAGCAATAAAATGTCCTCAAAAGTTTAATTTAGCAGTGAAAATGTTGAGATATTCACTTAGAAAACATTAAAAAAATTTCAGGCCACTCTCACAGGGTTTTACAGAGCTATAACAAGTCACAACTCCATTTGACATAGAATTGTGTCTTGGAGTTCTGTACATGTAGGTAGTGCATAAGGTGTCAAGCATCCATACCTGTGTATCTTTCCCCATGAAGAGTCAGTCCTCCTTGCTTTGAGAAGTCAAACAGGAAAAAAGTCTTTATGTTGGGGGACCCAGGAGGAGGAGCCATTACTGAGCCTCATTAATGGAGCTCTTCCATAATTTCATTCCCTCCCCTCGCACTTCGACACTCTGCTCCTTTGTACAAATTGTAGACTTTTGTTTATAAATCTCACTGCATGCCCCCAAATGGTTCATTTCCCTTGCCGTGGATAAACCATCAGAAGTGATAACATGTACTAAAAAGTCCAATTTAGTAGTGAAAAATATTTAACAATTTACTTGGAAAACACTTCCAATTTTTCAGACCAGTCTAGTAGTGTTTAATATATGCGCACAGGATGTCAAGTGATGTTTAGATACAAAGATATAGAACTCTTCCTAAATGAAATTCTGAACTAACGTTATCCATATCGCAATTGGTCAACAGAAAGTTTCATGTCTGTATAAAATTTCACGGCTGGTAAAGCGAAACTAAATGCATAATAAATTCATTACCAAAGAAGTTACATTTATGCAAACATTACGAAAGTGCTTGTTCAAGATACATTTGTCTGCTGTTCCACTAAAGACAAGTCAGGTCACAACACCGAAGATACAGTGCCGTGGCAAAATTCCTCACCTTCCCGATTCCACCGTCATGTTCGGTCCGGCTGCACCGCACCGATTTCGTCTGTCGACTCGCCGAAGACCTGCATATGATCAACGTAAGAATTCATACAAACGCGGTGTGGAATGCTGCGGCGAAACCTAGACTAGTAGACGGGACGTCTCCGCGGATACGGCGTGGTATTGCATAACAATGGCAAAGTTAATTCCGGGGGCAACAGTTACTGATCTATGCCGGCGCAGTACACAAAGTCACACTATTCGACACTGTTCCCACATCTTCCCCTCAAATTTAAGACGGTGTGTCGTTTAAAAAGATACATTAAATTTCAATGTATTATGATGGACTCTTTTGCATTTGTGGGCAATTTTTCGGAGTATATTCAGGCAGTTTTTTGAGGCATTGCCACTATCAACTTGAGCTCGGCTGCTTTACCAGGAACTGCATGTTCCATAAAATGTAATACGAAGGGACGAGAGTTTGTATTTAACTAATGAAAGAAAATCAGTACTTTTGACTAGCGTGAACCAGTGGCTTATCAAGGTTTTGAATCCGGGGCTAGGGATTTTGCTTTCAGATGAAATGGATTAATTGAGGGACTACATTAAATGGGTTACACACTCAACGTTGGCCAACATGCCTCTCTACCGGTCGGCTGTGAACACGGCATTGGCGTTAACATACCAAACTGGCGAAAGAAGACAAATTGGAAGACTTTTCTGTTCGTAAATAAAGTCAAGGCAAACACGGGTGTCAAAATCCAAGGAGCTATAGGTTTGTTTGACTAAGACAATGCAGCGGCATATTCTGATCTTTGGTCGGAGGGGGGCGGATTTTTCCATTTTTCACAAGTATAAGAACTGCAACACCCCCACCCCATCAGGTAGTAACGTTTTTTAAAGGCTGGTGTTTTCAATTCCTAATAAATAATAATATTTTTTTTAATCGTTTAAACGTTTCCTGGGGAGGTATTTTTCCCCATGACCCCCCATACGCCAAAACAGCAGTGTCAGCAATATGCTTTCCATGTAGGACACCTCATACCTATACAGCCTTAGAGCCCTAAAATCGGCATTCTTCAAATGGCATTACCAGTCAGCACTTTTAATATTGAGGTGCTTCACGACGAACCATACTATGATGAAATATGAATAAATAATCGCATTTAGTAATGATTAACGTAACCTTTACACACACTACTACCTAACAAAGGTTCAAAGAACTCTGACTTCGTTCGCATTTAGCGAACTTTATACCTTTCTTGCTTCTTGCGGGGTTGAAAGAGTCGAGTCCGTTGAACCCAACTACAAGTGGGTCAGGCTTGTTATCTTCAAACGTTCCATGGAAAAGACTCTTCATGCTTGTTATGAATCAAGTCACTGTTCCAATGTCACTTAATCAGATGATCTACAAAGTCTGACAGCCTGTTGCACGTTAAATGGCATATGTATAGTCTAGTTTAGACCACTTTAGTAATCACTGTTTGAAGAGCTGAAAAGAAGAGATATTTCACAACCATCAACATATTCCACAATAAAATATGCGTTCAGAAGATTGAGGGTTTGGAATCAAAGAAGTGATTGCAATAGACAGTTTTTCTGGTTTTAATTAACAATTCTATTTTGACACTATCAGATATCAGCGTATGTTTGATCAGTCATTTTAAAACAATTAGATCAATTTCATATTTGAACAAAATACTCTTGTCCATCCTACCTTGATAACTCAACGCAGTAAGTATAAGCTGAATATAAGTAATGATTCAAAAGAACATTTCGGTGAAAAAGAAGGCGTAAAATCTTTAACGGACGAATTGCCTGCATGCTGTTTACTGTGTACAAAACTTGATATTGGTGGCTGTTAGCGTAAATCTAGTTAAAATGTGGAATTACCAATAACGAAATTAATAAGTATTCTTAAATTTTTTCAAATGTAAATGCAAAACAATTTATTTTCAATGTTTATTTTCTATTTAACTTAAATGAGTGTTTTTGCTTAAAAAAGTCAAATTTGCATTTCCTAAAATCGAACAAGTAGGGGTTACGGCCAATACTATCTTTCGTACAAACTTCCTATTTTGACAACAACATTATGAGCAAATAAGTTGATCTAAATGATAGTGATAACACAAAAAAATCGAATCAGCCCATACATAGGAGGGTGAGAACAGATGACTTGTTCAAAACCGTGTTGAATTAAAGTATAATTGATGCTATATTATTAAGAAGAAAATATTACTTTATATACATAAGATGGGAAAACCTAGTACCTCTCGTTATTCTTTCAAAGTTACAGCCTTATTATTTTCTATGAGATTACTCCTTTAGGCGTGGTTTCATTTTTGAAAGAACCTGAGGCACAGGCATGCATGTTTTCAATCATAAGCAATCTTCGAAGTGCACACCTTAATTTGGAGATAGAACCCTCGTAACAGCTACACAGTCGTTGCGACCCAGCTGAGAGTAAGAAAAACCCCAGTTGTGTTCCTTGTCCTCAAAACCGTCGGATCGGACGCACGAATGTGGCACGACACAATATCGGCAATTTTTGAAAAGAAAATAGGCCTACACAGTGCATCATCTTCTAGACAGTTCGCACGAAGTATCGCTTAGCAACCGCCGTCCCAACCATCTGCGTTTGCACCAGCATCCCTCCAACTAGCTCTCGAGTGACGTGGATCCCGTCGTCCGGCCGGGACAAGTTTCTGATGGTCAGTTTCTTGCCCTCCCAGTCCCAGGTCGGTAAGTAGGTGGCCAGCTCGCCCTCTCTGGTTGGGTCGGGATTGGTGAACTCCTGGCCTACGGTGTAGCGGTCCTCCGTGGCGCGCATGGGCGTCGAGACGGTCACCACCATGTTGTCGTTCTCGTCCTGCTTGATTTCCATGGTGGGAGACTGGGAGCTAGCAGCCACGCGGGCGATCTTGCCCACGCCCAGCGCCTGCAGAAACTCATCGTAGTTCTCGTTTTTGATCAATTTCCACTTTCCGGACAGATCCACCGGCGCTTTGGGCTTGGGCGGCAGTGGCTCTTGCTCACTTGTGGTGTTCGACATCTTGAACAGTCAGCTAGTTTGGGGGGTTCTAACCTTTCGATCGGTGTTACAGTTTTGAGTGAGACAGTACAACCTCAGTCTGCGCTAGCTTGGATCGTTTCAAAGTTCACTGTTTCCGCGGTTACGGAAAAAATTACCCATCAGCCGTTGGATAGTCACCGTACGTGACTTCAAGAAACAAAAATAGCGACACGTGGTAATTTGCCATGACTCAACAACTCCCGGTGGATTTGAATCATGTAGCGGTGTATTTCAAGCACTGAGTATAAAATGCTTTTCTACCACCCATCCAAAATATACCTTCCCACACTTAACCCTTGGAACCATCTGGTGCAACTGCACCCGAGGTCCAAAGGACACGTCCAGGCATACAACACGTGAAGCTGAGGCCTTTTTACAAAACTGTCAGCTTACGCAGTGGATTCGTCGTTTATTTGCTCGGAATGAGCATCAGTTGTATGGATGTGTATAGCTCCCAACACACCATCGACGAAGAATGGGCTCGTGCCATAGGGAGGTTGCAAGTCTGGGCCATGTGTCAGATGAGCCTGATATGAGATAGGTTATCGGTAACCTGTCTCAGAATATGTATCGACACGCAACGTTACAGAAGGTCTCTCTTCTGAACTAGAATTCGGTACCAGTATCTCGTTCAGATATTTACCAAATACATGGGGTCGGGTGAGCACCCGAGGGTGGGGAATAGGCAAGTGGGACCATGGAATGGATTGTTGGCATACCCACTAAGCCCCCCCCCCGACAACAGGTTAGGGCACTGGATGTATATTTGTCCAATTTTGCTTGACAAAGAGTTGCAGACAGTCTGGATTTCTGAGGCGGAAAAGGGCCAGTGCATTGAATTCCTATACAAAGTCTATGCACTGGTTGTGGCGGTCCCTTTCAGCAGTTATTCTGCTGCAGATTCTCCCCAACGTCCACCGAGTCCCCCCCCAAAAAAAAATAATAATAAACTTGAGCACTCGTCTGTAGATTTAAGTCTGACGAGCTTTTCAGCTATTCTGTTAAAGTTGGATATCCCTGCTGACCTTTCAATTTTGCCGTGTTCGGCATTAAAATGTATATAGTCCTGCATGAAAGCTGAGCCCACGTATGCTGTGTGGAAGAATCCGAAAATATAACTGAAATGATAAAACAGATACTTAAATTTTCGAGCTTCAACGAAATTACAAGCAAGATTTATTGTGACTTGCTATCACTTCTTCCTCTCACAAAAGTGGGAGTTCAACGGGCACGGTTCTTATAGACGGAGGAGCGTTTCCCGATTTGCCTTGATAATTTTCCTAGGCGGGTATTAACCTTGGGCACAGGCATTTTGGTTTTTTTTAATAATAAGTGTGTCTTTCATCTGACGAACCGACGAATATGAAATATCACCATTTTTGAGAAAACATGTTTTCATTTAAGGAAATATTGCTTGCTCATTTTCGATATTTAATTCAACCCTGTTTTGATCTCTGTGTTTAAAAGATACAAAATTGGTCTATGAAATCATTTCCAAATAAATTTGTATTTTTGGCTCTATCTTTGAATACTCCTGTCAGATCTATTCGTCAGTTCGCGAGATAAAATCTGAAAATCACCAGAATGGTCGATTCGCCGGTTCGTCAGATAGGCGACGATATGGGAAATTACTCCCCTCCCCCTTCCATCTCCCATCAAGCTTTTAGCCTAGCGTATTTCTTTTGAGCGGAAACTCGTAACTTTTTAATTAAGTCCCGTGATTTCTGTTTAGCGCCCTCATGTGGTTAGCCGTGGCGAGACGCGTTACCCAGGCGAGTATGACGTTTTTGGTGATTTGCATAATTGATAGCAGTACGGTTCAGCCGTGTGAAAACGAACCATTCTCATGTTTCCAGACAGAGCTTCACACTTTTCCAGTATTTAGAAATTTTCGTTTCATCAATGGAAGCGCCATAGTGGCTGTGCTAGAGGGGAAGAACAACGCGTAAGAATCATGCTTCTCTATGTGGAAAGTAGTGCATTTTCGGTGAGTTAGTTTTATCTTGGAGGTAGAATGGTTTTATATGTCGAAATGTCGCAACCATTCCGTTTAATAAATTAGGAACAGGAAAAAGCTTACAGTGTACTAAAAATTGGTGTCAGGTCAACTCGACCGTTTGCCAACTCGACTCGAGTCAACTCTACCAACTCGACTCTCGACCAACTAGACAGTGCAAACGGTGCAACAGGGACAGGGCATAGAAGGAACGCATTTTTCCTAGTTCTCGATAACGCGTGTAATTCGTTTTACCGTTGGTCCACGGTCAAGTTGGTCAGGAGTCGAGTTGGCAAATGGTCGAGTTGACCTGCAACCCTAAAAAATGTAGCCTACTACGGAGAAGTTCTTATAAATGTTTACTTCATGAATCAGTTGATTTAATAATTTAAAAATCATTTGAGGAAGCCAGGGGAACAAGTTTATAAAGAAGCGTAAACTTGGTTTTAATGATGCTCAATTGAATGTCACGATGATGGTCCAATATGGAATTCTTTTGAGTTTCCTGGTTGAAGTTGTTTTTGCCAGTGTGGGTACTAAAACCCCCATTTCATCTCTAAATTTAAAATCACAATGACAGTAGCTCTCTTCTTTGAAATTGTATGTATGTGACAATCCAAATTTGTGATGGTCCACTAAGGAGTTTGTGGGGATTGTTTAGTTGGAGACCCGATTCCTTTACTCAACAGAACAGAGACATCTGAATTTTTGACTATGTAGATGACGACGATGCCAAATTGAATATCTTCAGCATTTATTTCATGGAAAGAGGACAGGGTTTTGATTTTTGAGGAAAATTAGGGGGGCTGAAAAATGAAGGTGGTAACATCAAATGCACTCACTGAAAATATATATGACAACAGTGTCCAAGCTGATTTAGTAATAAAGTTATTGACTGATTGTTGAAAAATTTCATTAAGAAGCCCATTTGTTAATGGTCATTACAAGGCACAAGCCTTTGCTTCCGGTATACTGTGGTATTGCAGTGCATCAGAGTAAATGTCAGTTCACAAGGCCAGCTGTCACAAAATCAGGTTAGAAAGTTGCATTTACTGCCAATTTAAAAATTAGGTCAGCACAATTAAGAGAACATTGCCTAAGCTTGCACATCCTTAGGGAGTGACTTTTTTAAGGATAACAAAATGTAGAGGTGTCAACAACTACACTATTCCCAAATTGGTGCTGCAAGTTGTCACATGCCTGTTCATTTTTCATTTAAATAAAAAATAAACTCTTTGTTCGCATTTTTCTCCTTGTCCAAGATCCACACATTCATACTGCAATGTAGTCCTGGCGACACGCTGGCCCGGATCCGGGCTCAGCTACTGCATATCCTGTATCAAATTGGTCACGAGGACCACCAGTTCCGCATGAGATACAAGGGTCAATACCTAAGAGATGCCTACACGCTGGAGGACTACCGAATTGGAGACCACTGTGTACTCAAGATGGTACCCATGGCAAAGAAACACGAGGTAAGCTTATGAGGCACCGTCGTTACTAGCAAAGGAAAAACATCTCAGTTCGTGGACTTGAATAAGTGGGTGACATTGACATGATGAAGGATCAGTTTTGCGGAAAGGGAGCAGAGTTTTGATTTTTAGGGTAACACAGGATAGAAACAATGACAGTGACCCAGCAGCCACAGACTCACACATGCCTGCAACAGGCGCTAAAAACAAGCATGGTGGAATTACAACTTCCCCGGTAGACTGTTGCTGATTGGTCGACTGAGTTTCTGGTGAGAAAGCCAGTTTCTGGTTTGCCTTGAACTTCATTGAACTGCACTGTCTGAGCCAGTGAAGTGCCTTTTCATTTTGTTCCAAGCATACATGTATATATATCACAACTGAGACAGAAAAGTTTATGCTTCTCTTCTTCAGTCTTTCACAGATGTGCGAGCTGACAGGGCCAAGCTGGGAGCTGGACAGAGCAACGAGGTCAAAATGGCTCTCATCCGGGAGGTCGCAATGCTGAAATGGAGAGAACAGATGGTGGCCGGATTCAGTGTAAGCACTAAGCAAGTGACCTTTGACCCAACCTTTGACTAATGTTCAATGCCACTCTGAGTTTTCTTCTTCTGGAGTCACCTTGCTTGTTCAGTGCTCTGGTACCCCCCTTAACAAGAATGTTCTAAAGTTGGGAGGTCAATATCTGAGATATATCTTTCTGCAAAAAGGGATGCAGATCTTGAACTTTCTCTGAGAAGTACTGGTGAGCTTTCGAATCAAACCTTGCTCTCCATTTCTGAGCGTGGGAGCCAATCGGATTGAACAATGTTACTGTTGGATCGTATAGAAGCCGGCTTGCTCTTGTTCCAGTTGTTAGATCATGGATAGTTGACATGTTGAAAATATTTCACACTCTTGCATTGACTGGGATTTCGGTCAACATTTTGTGGGGGGGGTAGGTTGAAACCAACCCTTCCAGGTGTACCTGCAGATTGTGATTGAAAGAGCACCTCTCATTCATTTGCAGGGCATCCTGTCGCTGAACCGCGTCTTCACCCTGTTTGCCGGCCTGATGTTTGTCTGGTACTTCCTCTCCCCCTACCCGCCTACGCAGTACAGTTCATTCCTGCCCTGGGCCATGCTGATCTACTGCGTTGGCGTCGGTCTGATCACGCTTTACACATTGGAGAAATGTCCCTCCTATACCCACAAGTCGGGTTTCACTGGGCCGTCCAGTTTGTGGTTAGTAGTCAGTGGCTCCAGGGGCCATGTGTCAGGTGCCTCATGTCAGGATCCTCAGGCTGAATAACTGAGATGCACTACTGAAATAAGGGAAAGATTTTCTAACAACATCTGGCCTCACAGTAGAGACTTTGATGTCGCATAAAACAGAGCTTCATTGAGGTTAAGGTGCTCTCAATTTTGGGGGACTGAATTTAAAAACTGAGAAATGAGTTCAAAGCCCAGACACAAAACTAAGGTTTGGAAAAGTAGATAGCTCCCAAAACATCCAAAAACACGTCAAGAACACAGAAATTCCCCTTTTGCATTTGTCAACATTCCAATAAATCATGAAAGCAAAAGTAACCCATTGTTAGATTCTTGTTTGCATACCAACTTAGCATTTACAGTTTTTTGGGGGGGGGGGATCAAACCCATTTCATTCACTTTGGTCTGCACCTAGTGAGCTGTTTTATTGGAACTTGAGGTTCCTTCTCCTACTTTGACAGGCCCCGCTTCTTCATGGTGACATTCCTCATCCTGACGATAATCAATTGGGGCGTGGCAGTCTTTCTGATGATCAGGTTTATCCTGTCCATCTTGGTAAGTGGCCATCTCAGCAGGACAAAAGAATCTCTTCTTATCACATGAAATGTGATACTGTTGTAAGAACATGATTTTTTTAGGCTTGGTCAAATTTCAACAAAAGAGCCAGAGGTAACTTTTTTTCTGGTTTACAACCATTAATGATGTGATATACAGTTACCAGGTTCCAAAGCTAAGCCCTGCATTATGTGATCCACCATCCTCTCAGTGGTGTAGCTGGGGGATGCTCACATTTATTTCAAACAGGCACTGAATTCCAATTACAGCTGTGACTTGTCCAAAGGTTGTGTACATTTCAAAATTTCATGTGGGGGGCAAAGACTTGTGTTGGAGGAGCGTAGTCCTTTCTCTGGACCTGTTAAAAAAGTTACAGTTTTGAGTTCAAGATGGATGTTAAAAATGCCTACAGGACTATTCCTGCCTGGCGGAGGAGAGCACTGATTCCTGCACAGTCCGTGGTTTCTGGTCATACTTCCTGGCCATATTCTTCAGCCTGCACGCCATCTACCTCTTCATCATCTGGTCCATGGCGATGTCCTTGCTCCGCAACTTCCACTTCCGTGTCGGTGATTACCTTGAAGAGCACCTGGTGGTGACCAGAGACGTGGAGAAGGTGATCGAGACAGCTCGGAATGGAAGGTAGGTAGATTGCTACAAGGTCTCTGTCTCAGCCGCTGGTATTGTCTCTATTTTAGACCTTATCTTAATTCACGTTCCTATAAAGTGTGTGTTAATTGAAAATAAAGCTGCAAGTCTTTTCATGTTCAAATGGTTCTGGAGTCGGAGACAGAGATAAGCAGAGATAAAGCCGAGCTTTCCAACATGGAGAAATATTTGGGCTTTCATTTTTAAATTTGGGTACAACAGCTGAGTTGTAATCACGTTGTTAAAGTCAAGTCAGATTATGAGTCGTAATAAGTTGCGCATTCGCTGTGTGACTAGATGACCTACATATATGATCAATTTATGACTGACTTATGAATGATTGTTGACTAGCTTGTGGTTGACTTGTAAGGGGTTGTGATAACGTATGCTGGAATCGTCCGGAACTGTGATTAATCAGCGACTTACTTGTTACTGGCGAGTTTAATTATGACTGACCTGTGACTTACCTGTGAGGACTTGTGATTGACTTGTGACTGGCATGTGACTTACATGTAAGGACTTGCGATTGACTTGTGACTGACATGTGACTTGCTTGTGATTGACTTGTGACTGGCGTGTGACTTACATGTAAGGACTTGCAATTGACTTGTGACTGGCATTTGACTGACATATGACCAACTTTGAATCAGTCGTGTGTGCAACATTTACGCAACTGCAAATCATGCAAGTAATAGTCCTTGTAAACAAGATTGATTGATGTCATTACAGAGTGAAGGAGAAGCGTCAGGCAGCATTTGAACTAGCCACCCTAGCCACTACGGGAGATGACAGCAAGTTTCGCATTGTCGCTGAGGGAGGGTAGGCCTCTGTTTAACCCTATCAAACCTTTTTACAGGGAGTGTTGAAGAACCTAGAGCACCCGGAAAATCCCACTGGGAATAATACTGCTGGTGTTCTGAAGTTGCTTCCAAATGACCACGCTATGGCTTGGGCCCATACAGAAGCTGCTAGCTTGCAGCCATAGCCATTTTGCATTGACCTGTCTGTAGTTATTTACCCAGACTCAACTTAAGTTTGGACACCTGTTTTCCACATTGCGTTTGAAGTGCACCAGCTCCCATGTTTAGGTTAATGTGTCATTTTGCTGAGGAATAGCCCTGCTCTGTCCAGTGAAAAAAAGGAGCCATGCTCGGGTTTGACCTTTTAAAACAGAAAAGGAACCTTCCAACTTCCAATACCTCTCAGTATTTCTCTCAGTCAGCTCTGTATTTTGTGCCTTTAGGATTTGAACCCCCTTTTTGTCCACCATTGACAGCTTGGAGGTCCTGATTTCTCTGGGGTTATCAACAGACGAAGCAACCCAGGAGTATGCCACCGAGGCCATGGCAGAACTTCTAACTGTTCCAGTGATCCAGGTGGGCTCTGACAACAAAACTTATCCAAGCCCGTGCAATTCCAGCAGTTCGGAATTTCATTCAAATTTAATGAACAAAAAATTGAACCATGGATCTCACAGTCAGCGGATGTGGAGTTTTGCCAGCAGCCAGCCGAGGGCATGGATAGCTTGTATACAGCAGGCTCAGGCCATTGGCGATAGATGAAATGGGTAGCAGATGCTGATATACTTGCCTATTAGTTTGCACACAGAAGCAGTCTGTGACTCGGACTTCCTCAGTTGGACCTATCAAAGACATTAGATGTCAGACCAGCCCATAATATAAATCATATTGAGAGTTTCTATCCAATAGTAATGCAGTACCTTTCCTAGTGCATCCACGCAAATTAGGAAGTTATCTGTAAACTTAAAAGTGGAAAATTTGCTTTATATTGGGTTTTTTGTCTATGTACACAGGACACCTTTGTGGAGCTGGGCGGTGTCACCACCCTGACCACCCTTCTGCACTCTCACAACCCCCGCCTGGTCCAAGAAGCAGTGACCGCCATCTCCTACATTGTGGCCGACTCGGAGGACAACAGGCAGGCAATCATCGCCGACCGCGGCCTGGAGGACCTAGCCCACGCCGTCCAGGGTGGGACAGATGTCGCCAAGCGCAACGTGGCCGGCATCTACTTGGACTTGGCCTTCAGCCCTGACATCAGGGCGCAGATGACCTCACAGAATGCGCCAAGTAAGCTCTCATGATTACTCTTGATATCATCCCCCCGTCACTAACCAAGATAGACCAAGGCTATGTCCAGATCACTTGGCTCAGGCTGAATATTACACGCGTATCTATGAAAGCCACTAGTGAGCAGTGTCATTCATTTTCTGTAGACGTATGTGGCATTTTCAGCCATAGCCATAGCACGGCCTTCACTGCATATATTGTAAGACTTCACTTGCAGTTTGAGTCCCAAAACTGGTACTACCGTTGTCAAACTGAAAGTGTAGGTTGCTGGTAGAGCTTACACACTACAGTACATAGAGTGGCTGTGGTGAATTGTAGCGCTAAAACATTTTCTCACCAGCACTGCAGTTTGACACCGCTACAGCTTAGCCAGTGCCAAACTACCTGATCTTACTATCAGCTTGTAGTGTGATGTAAATGCCACAGTCATTTTTATTACGTTGGGACCGTGCAATTTTCACACGTTGGAACGTTCAGTGTGAAGTTTGCTCATGATATCAAACTGGTAGGGATAAGATTCCGTTCCTGAATGCTTTGACTGTATGGAGTAAGGCCGTCGATTCTCTGTTTGCTGAAATCACAGCTGCAGCGCTGGTCTCCCTCTGCACCAGTAGTGACAGCGAGACACTCAGGTTGGCCCTACAGGCGCTGGAACTGGTAGCCATCGAGAGCGCAGATGTCATCCTTTACCAGGTGAGTGGTGCACATCATGAAGGAGGAATCTCCTTCAAAAGCATGGATTGAAAAAGGGAACTCAAAGTGATGGTTAAAGGTTTTTTTCAGTTATCAGCATCTCGTTTTCCATCTTTTCATCTTTAGGAGGAGCTTCTGGACCATCTTCTGAACATTCCTCGGAAGTCCTCGGATGCAGGTATCTATCTTCTGGCAGGCAAGATCCTGCTGTACTTTGCTGAGAGTCCCCAGGTATGTTCAGTTGGTTTATTCCTTCCTCAGGCACAATTAATCCATGCCCAAACCTGTGTCGTTTTCAAAATTTCTATTGAAACAAAAATGCTGCCTCGCAGTATTTATTTGACAGAGCAACCCCCCCCACCCGATATATAACACCAGAATTTCAATTTGAAATTGACAACTCTGCCTTCGTGTTAAAACCCCATTTCCTAGGCATGTGAGAGAATGCTGGCGGCACCAAACCTGAAGACTGCCTTGAACCAGTTAGCCAAAACAGGAGATTCCATTCTGCAGAAGGTGGTGTCCAAAGTGGTCCTCTGCACACTGGATCAGAGGCAGACTGCGTAAGTGCAATCCTAGATATAGGTTTACTTTTTGTGAACAACACTGCCACATTCCAGTGACTACTTACAGAGGACCATTCTATGCCGTTTTTCTGGTAAATCTCAAAATTCATGGAGCCAGTGTTGTGGATATTGCTATATACACATCTCAGATAGAGAAAGTCTCTTTGAATTGCAGTTGCTGTTACATTTCTCCCTTCGTTAGAGGGCCATAGATTTCAATGTTTGTAGAATCTTTCTCAACAGCTCTTTCCGTGAGAAAATATTTGCTAAGATTTGAATACAAGGCCCTGTGAGTTTTAATTTGTGTACATCTGGTCACTGTAGTCAGCAAAACGGTTTGCTGCAGTGTTTGTATTTTGATATTGCTGAAACAGTTTCCCAACCGAAGCATCTTGTATATCAATCATCCAGCTGCTACGTGAAGAAAAAAAGTAGACATGGAAGTGTTTCATCGTCCTCTTTTTTTCTTATGCAGTATCAGGGCCAAGGAGCTGAATCTCAAGGATGTCCTGGTGTACATTCAAGGTCACGCTGCAGATCGAGAGGCCTGGAACATGGCCGATGCAGGCATCACATCCATCGAGACCGTCCTGTTCAGCAGCTTTGTGCCGGGGCCGGACAGTGACCTGGGGTCCCTCCTGTCACTCAAGAAGCCCCTGTCTCCCTTCAAGAGAGAGGACGAGGAGAGAAAAGCGGCCACCACGTCGGGCGGATCTGCTGATGGTGGGTCCGAGGCTGGACCTAGCTTCAGCTCAGGAGCAGGACCAGACAGCACCAGCGGCAGCCGTGGGTCCCAGCAGTCCCTGAGGCCAGTGCAGAAGAGACCCGCCTCAGCTGCTTCCAATTCATCCACTTCATCATCATCATCATCATCATCATCGTCATCATCATCATCTTCTTCCAAAAGCAGCAAAGGGTCCAAAAAGTAAAGCAACTCAAAAAATAAAATAGAGGAGGTAATACTCGGGAGATTCTGCTTCAATTTGGGGTCATGTCAGACTTTTAAAATGTTGAAGTGTTGGTGTTAACTTCAACTCCCGGATTTCGTTTGCTTGAAGGTTTCTTAAATTTGTCCAAATTCACCTCTGTACGCTGTAGTGAAGGAACTTTATAGTCGAATTCATCACAAGTCCAGTCGCAAGTCTTTTCACAAGTCTAGTCATATAAACTCAGTGGACACTGGAGTAGGAATACTTTTGTCACAGCTCACTTAAATGGTTTTTGACTACACTCTGAATTAAAGACTGTGTGACTTGTGATGGACTTGTAATCAGCAGCTTGTTACAGATTTTAAAAAGGTAGAGTTAAAACACCTTAATTGCTATAAGTAGGGAAGATTTATTTCCCTTGATTTATTCTGTCTGTTGTTCAGTCTTTACATGGAACATGTAAATAACATTTTTGTTAAATAGTGTGATAAGAGTGCATGAAATTGTCAGATTCATAACTCAAGTCTGAAGAATTATATTTCGGAAAAATTTAGTTTTCAACAAAATGTACATGTATTTTGTAGAGTTTTTACATGTAGATGGCTATTTTTTCTACAGATTTTATTTGTAAATTTTGGAGAAATGTTGTGATTTTTCTGTAACATAATTCACGATGCACTTAAATGTTACTCGAGTCATTCCGTCCAGTCCATGTTCCGTCCTTGCTAGAAATTGTTACTCATGAGACTGGGTTAATGATTTAAGAAAAGGGGGGTGTGATTTCAAGAATTAACATCTGGAAATCTCACTACTCACAAGGTTAACTCAAGATTATCAAAAAACTGGATGTGAAAAAATTGTATAGTAGAGCATACTTAACCCTAACCCCCCAGGGACCATTGAAATCCTGCATAACCTTGTTGGGTTCAGTATGGTTAGGGTTACCCGAACCCCCTAGGGACCATTGAAATCCTGCATAACCTTGTTGGGTTCAGTATGGTTAGGGTTACCCGAACCCCCTAGGGACCATTGAAATCCTGCATAACCTTGTTGGGTTCAGTATGGTTAGGGTTACCCGAACCCCCTAGGGACCATTGAAATCCTGCATAACCTTGTTGGGTTCAGTATGGTTAGGGTTAATGGAGACCTTCAGATATGCATTCAGGTCCAGTGTTATTTGTAATTTTATGTAAATAATTCAGTATTTGCAATCTTTTTAGAGGTGGTTATCACTGCTGACTATCCAACAGGGAGCTAGGTACAGCACTGATGAGAGCGGCAATGGTGTGTGAGAGAGTTTTCAAACTCGGATCTTTTCTCTTCCTACCCAATTTTTGTCAACCAAAATACGGTATAAGGGCTTGACATCTTGCTTGAATAAATTCAAGATTCTTTCGGATGTGGAAAGAATGGTTCATGTGATTGCTTCTCCCCCCCGTCTTTGGGTGGCATGGACTCGTTTGACCTAGAAACAGCAGCCCAGTAGGCAGATAATGCCCTCACTGCTTGATGAACAAACAGTGACGTATCCATGGTCTGGGTGGAGGTGGGGGCCAATTTAAATAATATAGATTGTTCAAATGCTTTCTCATACAGGTTTAAATAATTACTGGCCATACTTAAAACAGATCAAAAACACTTCAACTAGGACACTGCTCTGGTTTCCAACTGGAACATAAACCTCTTGTTAGATTTCTGCCTCGCCAGCAGAATCATTCAGCAAAACTTGAACGGTTTCCAGAGATACAGCTCACATATGCCATGACCCATTCGTACAATGAATCATCACTTCCACAATGCGACACTCAGACTTCTTGTCATGCTTTATTCCTATTCCTGCATACAGTTCATTGTGTTAACAAAAAATAGACTGTTGTGAGGTCAAAGATTGTTTACACCAGTCAATTTATATCTATAATAAACTAACCATTGCTTGGGGAAAGTTCATCGAGAAACGGGTGTGAGTGGCCACTTTAAATTAAAGCTGAAAACAGCAAACAAAAAGCTGACATGTAAAAAGTTCTCGTACTTTTGTACAGACCAGGTGCACAAAGCTGTGATTCAGGGTCGACATCTAAACAAAAAAATGACACAATCACATTTCAACTAGCGGAACTCAAAACTAGTTTAGATTCTTTTTAGTCTAGTGTTTCACTTTTGTTGTAAAAAAATTAGCTGCTTGGAATACCAAATATTCAATATTCTGTGATGTTACCTATGACAGGCAGATATTTCACGAGTGAGGGTCTGGCAGTCTCAAATAAATGACTGAAATCACACTTTCAAGAATTTTACCACGTTCGTGAGTGAAATAAAGTTCTTGCATGATTTAAAACTTTAACTCAAGCAAAGATGCTGATATATTTTCTCCAAAAATGTGACATTAGCGCAAAATATACTCCCACAAATTTTAAACTCCGTATCATAAAATTTCACATCTTCCTGGACATTCTCATGACCTATTAGAATAGCTGGTGATTCCAGACAGTGGAATTAAGCTGACCATTATAAACTCTGCTAAAAACTTTTTTACTCCAATCGAAGCAATACTACCAAAATGTTATTTGCTAGTTCTGAAGGTTAAAATGAGACAGAATGTTTAAATCTAAACTGACAGGATCTTAATGACAATCTACGAAAGTCAGAAATATGACGCTCAACAACTCACACATTAAGTTTACAACTGAAACCTGTTGTTCTACGAGCCGCTCGTTGATCGGCGGCCATTTTGGAATTCACTCTGTAGGGCAAACAGGCTCCTGTTGCATGCAAAACCGCGATGGAAAGTTACAATACACAAGCTCCCTAGCAGCAATTTTCAGATTCAGCGGGCAAATCTGGTCGCCACAAACACAAGGTATACATGTAACTCCTCTGAGACAGTTCCAGGGCTCACACGTGTCAACATATCGTTGTGTACCCAGTGGACAGGTATTCGGGATTTTCTTTGGAAACACAATTCAACACTCCAACAGCTTTCTTAATATGGCCTTCAGCCAGGCAGCAGACGATGCCTTCTTTGTTTCAGATGCACATGCATTTTGGCAAGCTACAAACTTAACACCGGTGTTTGAGAAACACCGAAAGGCGGTGCGCATCTGACCAGCTCGTAAGCATGGAATCACCGATGCATGACTTTTAGATGGCAGTCATTCCAGACAAGTCTGCACTACCACAATGACACTATTCACAGCACACTTCTCTTCTGAATCAAATCTGAGTGTTAGTTTAAATGTTAACCCTTTCAAGGCAATGAAAGACTTGTCTTTTTTATATATACTTTGGATTGCTTGAGGACGGTGCAATAATTCATATACTGTACATGTATGTGTTTTCGTCCATCCAATAGGCTGGCAGTGGACTGACATATTTACAACAAAATTTTGCATGCTTTCAACCTTTTGATATGCAAAACTGTTTCAGAAATGCTGGCATGAAACCAAAAAGAAAGAAAAAAAAATACACAGCTGCACAGAACTTTGTGCAATATTTGTCAATTTCTAATGATGTATAGGCCAACAGGAAACTTTCAAATATAAGAGATTGATGATCTGTAGCAGGTTAACAAGAAAAAATATGCTGGACATCCAAATGCATCGCAGCCAACGGAGAGCAGTGCTAGCGAACAAACTGACATACGCCTTGACGGAAACTCTTGTAAAAAGACCAGATTAAGCCACAGCAACTTCATCAGCAGGGAAACTCTTCAGAACACTTCTAATCTCCAACACAAAATCTGTGACTTGGTATCAAATATACCTTGACATCTTTGTGTAAAAATGCCCTATTTGTGCGATCTTGTTCAGAGTTTGGTTGGTTTTCTTTTCAATAGATTAACACATTATATACAATTTTATAGCATTCACTCCATTTGCAAAGAAAGAGAGGGGTAAAGAGTATGTTCTTGTTATAAGAGATTGATCCCCCACCAAAAGATTGTATCTTAATTCTTGTTAAATGTCCCCAAAGGATTGTTCTTATTTTGTAAAAGATGTCCTCTTTTCATCACCATCTCAAACAAATTAAAGTATACAACATTTGTATGAATATAATACGGTAAATAAAAATAAAAAGGCTGACATCCTGTTAACTTTGACGTAAAATTACACAGGGGACAGAGTGACTGAAAAAAATCTCATTCTTTTTTTCCTGAAAACAAATCGGAAATCAATTCCAAACTTGTCTTTGGAAATATTCCGACTGCGAAATACCCCGGTAATGGTTAAATGAAATATTTGACGGGAATGTGCTTGTTTTACAGCAATCAAATTCCTATTTATAATTAGGAATAAAAAGATTTTCAAGCAATCTAGAAAAGCAATGAAAAAAATTGGCATTTCACACATTAAGAAATTCTGTCTGGAAACATTATGTACACTTAAACTTAAGTGCTAGAAAATGACAAGCCGGCATACCTTGCCGATAAATTTGACAGCTTTTGGAATTTCAAGTTTATCCACATGGGTGATAAACTCAGAACATCCACAGTATGGTCCTAACAAGGAAACCATACAAATTTACCTGAACAAATCTGCTAGATCAGCAAACATGAAACTGAGCACCAGCTAAAGGTGGCAAAACCTCATGCCGGAAACCGGTCAAATATGCTTCGTCTTGGCTCTAGGGGTTGTTTCAAGAAAGGCGAGCCAAATCTAGTGGGACATGTTCACCGGTTGTGTTTCATGGGTTTTTACGAAATTTTTCTTTTTCCAGACAGAATTTTTTACTGTTTAACGGCAGAACAAGACAATGCCCCATCAGGCCTGTCCCCGCCCAACAGAGTGGGTTTGAGGGAAAGGCCATCATCATGCACGGTGTCACGCTACCAAGTGCGGCAGATGTAACGTTCTGCTCCACATCTCCTCCTACTCCTCTTGTGGTAACCCCACCATCGACACCCACAATGCACTAGTCTTCCTCACAGAGAGCCTTAATGAGTCGTGCACAAAGTACCATTCTAAATAACTAAGTATTAGTCACATAAGCTAAAAAAATGTAAGGAAAAAAATTTTTTGTGCAGTTAACATAAAAGTGAGGCAGACTTTTCTACTTTCAAACCGTGAAGCAGAAAAGAAAAAGTTAAACGTGGTTCCAGCTGCTAAATTTTAAATAACAGCCAATGTTTCAGCATAATACACAAGTTGGAGCTGCACTTTTTTTTCATCTGAAGAAGACATAATCAAACAAGAAGTAAACCAATTTTGGAAGAAATGGATAAACAAGAAAACAGAGTCAGTGATTCACTAAAGGCCTGTTAGGTTAAAGAGCGATGTGACATACAAGATTTGAGGTACTTGGTGTACTACCAGAAACTTCCAGAGAGCTTAAGGGCTGATACTAGGCACGACTGGGTATAAACTTATGGCTGGTGGCTCTCTAAGTGGACGACTGTGTGGGTGTGTGCGATGGCAGGGTCTAACCTCAGCAGCCTGTTGCTTGGACGTTAGCCCCTGACCTCTTGGTGGTCTCCAAGGTCGTAAACACCTGAAAGTGAACAGGCTAGGAATCAGTCGCACGACCAATGATAATGCTATCATGTGTATGATAAAGCATTTAAAAAATAACCGAAATTAAATACTACAGAACTGTTTTGTTTGGAAAATAATGAACAGATGACAAGGGCTTTCTTTATCTTAACCCTCTGTATCTCCAGACGAAATGTGAGAATTTTTCATGTCACATCTACAAGCATAGACAAAATATTAACAGGGGCCTTATGTTTAACACTTAAGTAGTGAGTGAATAAAGGGCAGGATTACATCAACGGAAACTTGACTTTTTGGTGAGGGCAAAATCATTTAAACTATACACCTCTTCTTGTTCGCCTTAACCCTAACCCTCCTCAATCCTTCACCTGTTGGAGGACTGAAGAGTGTTAGGGTTAACAAGATGCAGTAGAACATCATGATTTCAACTTTTCAGCTCCAAGGTAGGCATCTAAAATCCAGCGTGCTACATGTACTCCAAATCGTAGTTGATGTTGTGGATCGAGGTTCAGAGTGACTGGCATTACGGTTCAGAGTGACTGGCATTACACTCACAAACAGTAGAATTAATCACCGTATTGAACAGTGTCCCATCTAGCCAGCCTGTCTTTCTGTCTGATGGACAGGTCAGACAGACTCAGGCTGGTCCCACGGCAGCAAGCGTTCATTCTTACCTCCGACACGGTGGGATGGATACCGATGGTCGCATCAAACTGTGCCTTGGTGGCGCCGCACTTGATGGCGACCGCGTAGCCTTGCATTACCTCGCCCGCGTTGGGCCCCAAGATGTGCATGCCAACAACCTTCTCCTGGACGGCAAGAGAGGAACAAGTTTTCAAAATGTCCGCATTCCAGAGAATGCCTGGTTTGTGGTTTTATACATTTCAAAAAGTATCGCATGGGGGCAGTCTGCAAGAGATAAAAATCTCCAAAAGCAGCACACCTTTAACGAGTGGTAATGCCATGAATGCATAGGGGCTTTGGGTGGGATGACGAATTGACAGTTGACAAGAAGGACAGATTGATGGATGAAGTTGCCAGCTCACATTTAAGTTCAATGCATTTTCAATCTCACTGCTCACACTCAACATACTGTTTGCACATATAATAAAAAAAAAGGCCTTCTTCTCCAGGATATTTGCCCGCTCTGGTAAACATTATTAATCATATCATCTTTCACTCTGTAGTGGCCAAAGTGCGGGCCAAAAAATTGCGTTAATTTTTTGGGGTATGGCTGTAAGCACACCAGCAAGTTTCAGACGCTTGTTGAAGAGCACAGACTGATGAAGATTAACGAGCGACTTCACCCTTAAGTGCTTTTTAGGTGGTTTCAGTAATGAGACTGCAGCCACACTAAACGTTCTGCGAGTATATCTCATTAAAAAGCCAAGTTCCACTGCACTTTTGTATAAATCATCCTCAATCTCATCCTTTTTTTCACTGTAGGACCAAAGTGCAGCCCAGAAATACCATCAATTCTAGGGGTGGTTGTAAAGCAAGCCAGAAGATTAAGGTGGTTTTCCCCAGCCGCATTTGTAAAGCCGGGATGGTACCCTTGTATGGCAACAATCACTTGAAACCCCCAACAATCTACTGACTGCACTGTAAGTCACACAAAAAAACAAGTTCTGGAAATATGAGACAGCGTCCAGTACTTTGAAAGGAAGTTCTCAACAATCCAGGGGTATAACGGTGCCCCAATTGGGCATCGTTGGTCTTACCGAATCCAGTGTATTGCAGATTATCTTTGCATAGCAACCGTCGCTGTCTCTATGGGCAACTGTATACTCAAGTGGCTGGTACATAGTATGGTACACCTGCATGATGTCCAGAATGTTAAACATGTGCATCCATACATTACTGCAAATGAACTTGGACTTTCAACTGATACAGAGTGTGTCACATGTTGGCATCCTTTTTGTTCATTATTTTGCCACTTTTTTCGGGGTAAAGTACATCATGCGGCCAACAGCAATAAAATCTAACTGACTGAACCTGCCAAACCTTGTCAAACTATTGAATTAATTACAGAAAAGAGTACCACACCAGAGTGACTGAGTTTATTATACAAAGTGCACCGACACTGCACTAGAAGATGTCTTTCTTTGCTGAATCGCCCCAGAATTCTGTATCTTCCCTTGTCTGAAATGGTTGTCAACTTTACCAAAAGGAATAAAATGTGGCATCTACCGTATACTTGTACAATGTTCAGCATTATCTGTGCAACTAAGGGGCACAATATGTCAAATCACTCAGACAAACAGGACAGCTCACGTAGATCAAAGAGTACTTAGCCAAAAAAAAATCCAAAATTAATTTATATCTCCCCGGCGCAAATCCATCCTTGAAATAGCACTTAGAAACAGTTACAGATTTCTCGCTGATTAACCCAATTGGTCTTTAATCCTCCGGTTGTCTAAATTTGAAAAATAATCACCAGTTTTTCTTGCCAGGTCAATGGAATAATAGCCAAAAATTACAATTACTCGCCAATTGGCGAGAATGGCGAACGGCAGCTGGAACCCTGCTTTAAGTTGAAACACCTACCTCAATATTACTTCCACCATATTTCTCAATGGCGTCTTCCTCTGACAGTCCACAGCTGCCGTACTCCAGTGGGGTGAAGACAGTCGTGGCAACATTCACATAGTCACACTGCGTAAATCACACAAATTCCTCCTGCTGTAAATCTGATTCACACCGTGAAGTATTACACAGGCTTGCCACTTTTCAACCTGATTTGCTCACAATACGGGAAATGATACAACCTTGTGTCATAGCTGAGCCCATCACAGGATACGTGACAACTAACAGGGTCCATGAATAATGAGAATGAGTTGAATTCAGACTAGAGGTCTTGTGTTGGTCTGGAGACAACCTCAAAAGGTCTTGACTACTTGCAATACCATCAAGAACTTTGGCAGACTTTTCATGTGGTTAGTAAAATGTCACGATTGTTCTATGCAAATTCCTGAACTCTAAAATAATCTGACAACCAAGAGTTGAAAATCAATAGAAAAATCTTGCCTGCCTTCAACACACTACACCAAAAATCCCGCTTTTTCTGATTAGACTTTTAATTCCATAGGTACACGTCACAGCAGCCTAGTCCTGGCCCTGACATATTCCTGTTCCAACCCACTGGCCACCATTCATTCAACGTTCATTCACCTGTTCCGTTCTCCCACCATACAGCCTGCGCGCCAGCAGACGGCCCGCTTGGATGGCCACCGGCGTTAGCTCCAGGTTACCCTCAATGATGTCACCCACTGCGTAGATGTGAGGAATGTTCGTCTGCTCGCTGACCACTGGGATCTTCCCGTTCCTGCAAGTGTAAGAAAAAAACCACCCAATTTCAAGGACAATCCACAGTTGTATTGAAAGTGTATCAATTCATCATTCATACCGTACCTCAATCGAGTACGGTTGGCACAAATTGAAAAATCTGAATCTGGAGTACAACCTTAAAAAAAAAACACAAAAATTCGGGATTTTTTTTCAGAACAGTTATCACTGTAACACTGTTATGCATTCCAGCTAAAAATCACTGTAGGGTGAACATAAATTATCTTTAATACTTAAACCATAGGGTGGCTGATTGATAAAATTCATGTCTGTATCATAAACAGGTGAATGAATGCTCAATTTAACCAAGGTGAAAGAAGAAGATAAGTCTTGGAAAGTCAGCATTGTAAAGTCAGAAACAATCATTAATGACTCCCTACAGATTTCAGCAAACAGAAAAAGTCATAAGTCATCACTGCCAGGTACACGATATTCAGCACATAATGCAAACTGCACGTAACCACTAAATTCTGGAATGAGCCTATGTCAATCAGTTTCGCATGTTCCAAGAATTTAAAAAATCTGTAATAATCATTAAATTGCGCGACTTGCCGCTAAAACAAGAGGAAGTGCACGTGCTGAAAGGAGAGATGCACAGGGTGAGGGCTGGCATCTGCCCATGGGGGAAAATCATTTTTTCCAAAAAAATGTTGCAAAAGATTTTTTAAATCCCCCCAAAAATCCAACTTCCTGTTTTGGACTTACTTTGGGTTAATCAATACGCCGACTTTGTCCAGGCCAATGTTGTTTGTGCAGGCATCCCGTCCAACTGCCACCAGGACCTGAACAAATCAAACCGATGTTGTACATCACAGTATACATGCAGGAACAGCAAGATGACGGACTCCAAAAATGTAGAGATTGAGGGAGTATACCCGCCTTTCATATGTTTGTACCGGCATATATAAATGCTGGTTTCCTGGTCAAAGTGAGGAGTAGATTTAGCGTGAAAAATGAAAGCTAAACTTTCATTACAAACTTTTGACCTTTTCGTGCGATGCCGGAGGCGGAATAAATTGTTGCAACAGCAGGCACAAGTTCGATGTGTGTTTGGGGAAATATGACTAATAACTCACTGGGAACATTTGGGATAACTTGATGAGTCTTTACTGGAATATGTACTTCAGTGGTACACTGGGCCAGCCAGGCAAGATGCATGTCTACTTAGTCTGCGTTGTGTACTGCCGTGGCCCAGGTAACGGCACATCAAAGTACAATGTGTCTATATTGACCCTACACAGAACTGCACCCTATTACGCATTCATTAATCCTCTCATTAAAAAAGATGGAGGGATTCCTATAAGGCTTTCTAAAAACGGAATTTGGCCAATTATTATTTCTTGGTATAGCTGGTTGTCCTCCGGCAGTTGTGGCAGAACAAAAGCATGAAGGACTTTAATGGCTCGCCCTCACTCAACTTATTATGCTATGCATGCACGCACGATTCCATTATAAAGTACATCATTTATTTTCCTAGCTCATTGAATTTAATGGTTTTTCTCCTGCTTTACGTGGACGTCACTCTTTGTTCACAGTCCACAATATTTCAGTCTCCTTTTCATTTTTGCAAATGCATTTTACTTTGTCAGTATGAAAATTTTGCTGCTGATTTTTATTTCTAAGGACGTAACAAATTGATTTATTGAATCCCTTCACCTCGTCTTTGTGCTTGACTGGTGCTGGGGCCTTTAAAAATGGTTCAATAATAGAAGCGACTGAAACAAGACCAGAAACAGAATAAAAGGACACACATGTGCACAACTTTCTGACTGTCCTGCCTTCGATCTAATGTCATAAAATGTGAAATCTCTTCATTGGACTGTACCGCCGCCAACCATGGAACTTAATTAGTAAAGAAATGCAAGAATTACCGTGTTGCATTCAAAGACCTTCTCCTCTCCGCCCAGGGTGGGTGTGTACGTCACTCTATACAGGCCCGGTTCTCCATCTTGTACTTTCTCAATCTGGAAATGAAGAAAAAACAAGTGTAATTGATCTGAAGCAGCTGCAGCAACAAGCTCATTAAATTTGTGTGTTTTCAATCAAACACACAGCAACCATTATGGAAAGAAATTCTAGCGGAAATTATAAACAGACGCTGAGCGTTGATTTTTTTTTTGTTTGGTTCAAAAGTGCTCAAGGATAATTATTGCTTTTGTAAAGTATAAACTGCACGTGCAGGGTTTTGCGAAGAGATTTTATGAATACACGTATAAATATGGCATCTTTTTTGCACAAAGTTTATTGTAATTAACTGATTTTAATTGACATAGAATATACGGTATTTTGATGAAAAAACTGCAAAATGACACTCTTGATAAATTACGAGCGACATATACTGCTTTGGATAAAGTCATAGAACTGTACATGCCTCAACCTGCTGGATACACCGAGAAATGTACGCAAAAAAAACAGACTGAAATGTCAAGACTTGCAGACTATTTAAATGGAGACGGGGCGTGAACATGCCTTCTTGGGAATGGCCGGTCTGATGAACTCAATGCCGTGCTTCTCCATGCTCACGCCCACTTTCTCTGCCATGTCCTGGTCAAAGCCTCGCAGCAGGATGGAGCGAACCATGACCGTGACGTCCAGCCCCATGCCGTTCAGGAACCCAGCGCACTCCAGGGACACATAGGAAGCCCCGATGCATAACGTCTTGCCCGGGCAGTAACGCAGGGAGAACAGGTCATCACTGTCATTTCAGAGGAAACCGGGACAGGAAAACCAAAAAAATCATATTCTCAGCAAGAAGTATACATTAAATGACAGAACAGTCTGAGATACATGTACAGAGATCACAATCTTTATTCTGAGGAACATCGTAGTGAGTACATGCTAACATGGCCACATGCTAACAATCACATTCTGTTGTGTTCATAACTGTATTGGGACTGTACATGGGACTGTATCATATTGATTCTATCACTTGATTTTTCCCCAAGATTAAAGACCACAGCCACTGATAAGGTCCTGATTTTGTAACACTTTACCCATTGCTGGTTTTGCCTCAGAACACCTCTGGTGGTTAAGTTGTAAAGTTTGCTTTGAAACTCCTTCTGTGGTTTTCTATTTGTACAATAAGCTCACAGCAACCATACATGTACAGTACCTGTTGTGCACCTTTCAGGTAGGTTGCAATGCCACTTCCTTGTGCGAGTTAAAGGAAGAGGAAGTGACCATGTGGTTCAAACAGCAAAATCATAAATCCAGCAATGGATACTAGACTGCTGCTGGTGTTAGACTCATTTTTCCTTAGATGCAATAACACCAGGCATGCAACTTGGACTTTGACAAGAAATGAGGAAATTCTAATCTCTACAAGACTTCGTACAGCGTTTTCAATTTCCAATGGCAGGAGTGAAAAATGAAGAAATTAGCTGATCCGAAGAAAAGTTGCGTGCCTGTAACGCTGGGATACTTGAGGGGCAAGTTAGAGCAATGAAGAGAAATCTGTGTAACTTCAAACAGAAGGATTGTAATAATAATAATAATGAATTACATGTACCAGTAATGGGTCATTCTGTAACATTCTGTAAATCCAAAAATGTGACATTTCTGTGTCCTGTTACATCTGACCAGCATAATTTGACTTGCAGGAATCACTGAAATTGACTCCAACCTATATGATTTGTTTATCAGGTATGAACATGTAACCTGCCTTAATCACTCTTGGAAACAAGACAGGGTCACCAAAAACTTTGGACTCCACACGTACAGAGTGACCATAATGCTACTTTGGGGGCTTTTAACAGCTAACAAGGAATGAAATTTCTTCCAAATGGCAAAAACCTACACTATTGAACTTTTGATATTCCATAAATCTTAAGATCGAAAATCTGGAAAAATGCTTAGAAATAATTCTCCTATCTATTCTCGGCAGTTGTTAAACCCACTGAGTACTCACTGAAACCAGAAACATTAGGAATTCACTTAAACTGAAGTTTTCAGTCACCATTAATCCAACAGCTGGAAAATTACAAAATTCAGCGTGGGAACTAAAAGTAGTGGGTTTGGATTACTTGATACAAGTACATGTAAACCATGAAGAGTACTGTATGTGTGACATGATATGTAAACAAGGACACGTACGGCAAAATGCAAAACCTGAGTAAGGACGCAACGGCCTCACCTGCCCTTCCCTATCAAGAGCTCTATGCAATTTTTACCAGTGAGTGGACACTTATTTGTTGAATCTGTGGTCTAACAGCCATCTGCTAACAAAAGGATTTGTTATCGACTACAACATCAATGATACCTGGTGATGGCATATTCCTTGAGACCTGGGACGTCTGGGTAGCGAGGCCTCATTCCGGTTGCCAGCAGGAAGCGTTCCGACTGCATCATCTGCACTTTGTTTTTCCTGTTGACAGTCTGTGCATATAAAGGTAGAGATAAATGTACCACTTAAAGGCTACATGTATGACACCACTCAAAGTGGTCTGTATTTGATTAATATACAAGCATGGCACAGTTTAGGCTCTACCCGAGAACTTCGGAAGAAGCACATTTCAAAACAGGTACATGTACTGTACATTCCTATCAAAGTTCTACAGCAATATTGCTAGCTGTAACATACATGTATATGTAAGTGGGAAAGGCTCTTAACCACTTGCTGCCGGGTGGTTTGAAAAATGCAGTGCACATAATCGGGACTTTTTCAAGATTTTCAGTTTTCAAAATTCTTCAAAAATATTATTCATCATTTTAATTAATGGACGTTTACACCCACGCGAATTACTGTCTGGTGGCCACTCTAGTCTGACGGACAAAATCTACTGACGTCCAAGTATTTCAGCCAGGCCTGCAGCCTTGTAGAAAGAGCCCAGATTGTGTGGTGTTATATAATTTTATTTTGTTCACAAACCTGGCACAGTGTGCTACTGACCTCTTTTCAATAGGGGCCAGATTAGCGTGCTGTGTGGCTCATCGCTGCGGTGGTGGTGCACTTTTGTCCCCGGTGGTAATCCACTCGCTCTAAATGCCCCAAACCATGGTATACTGCTTCAAAACAAGGCTGGAATATCTCCACTATTGAGAGTGAAAAAATGTTGGTAATGCCCAGCAGCCTGGTCTTTTGTTTCTAGTACGATCTGTTGTCACAAGGCCCAGTTCCCTTAGTCCAATTTTGGAGACCCCGGCCACGCGTATAAACACACAGTGCCCAAAACTGGGCTTTCCGGCAGGAAGTGGTTAATAGTAGGCCTTCGTAAAGACAGCTGCAATGTCGTTGTTGACAAAGGGCAAGATGTTAGCTTTCTTAAAGTTTGAGAAGTTTGGTTTAAAATAAACTTCTTGCCAAAAATTCCTTGAAAAGTACAGGCTTGTTTCTCGGTAGCTGAGATGTCAGAAGACCGGATGTGTGCATACCTTTATCGTGTGCTCGTCAACAAACTCGGCAAAGGCATTGACATAGGTGACACTCTGATCTCTCAACGCCACTTTGTAGCCCCAGTTCAAAGACCCAATGTGGTCCTGAACCCCTTCTACAAGCAGATTCCACTCATGTTTAGCTAAAAAAGGACACAAAAAGAACAAATAGGAATCCTATTTAATGAGCTCCTTTTTAACCTGTACAACCATGACAACTTGGACAGTGACACGTCACTACTTGTACACCGGTCCAACTCATTGCAAATATGTGTATAGCCTAATGCCACACGCAAATAAAGTGACCATTTTTAAGTTGAAAGTTGATTTTTTTATCATTATAAACAAAAGACATAGAGCTTCTGGGCTGGTCTCTTGTAAAATAGCACAACAGGATTTACACAAAATTTGAGTCCATTTTGTCAGTAGATCCGTGAGTTAAGATCATCAAGTACATGTATTTTACCATTCTTACTACGCTTTATTCATTTGTACCATGTAATGACGTATTTGAGAAGGCACATCATTTCTCTTTACTCTTCCTGGTTGTTGTGCTCTTTTGAGGCAGAGGAGTGAGAACATCAACTTGTCTTATCTTTCAGTTGCAATACAATTTTAAGATCTGCTCTTTGTGAATGAAACAAGTATGGACTTGCTCAATTCACTGATAATTTCATATTTATTACCCATATTCACTTGTGTAGGCAATATACAATAAAACTGCAAAGTCATTGTGGGATAGGAAATTGATTATTAAATGTAACTGAGTTTCAGGGCTCTTTAGAATCCATATCTGCTATGAAGCATATTGTCCTTATCACATTACAGTTGAATACTTCAAAAAATCAATTTTTAAATAACAGTCAAGATGCTCAAGACACAACTTTTTTTTTTCAAGCTTAAGATGAGGTTGTCTTGAAGTCAGCAATATCACCCTTTGCTTCTTCCCACAACCTTCCCATTTACTCTGAAGGTCACCCCAAGGAGGCTTTAATGAATGCCACGTCTTTATCTTCACGCACACCTCTGAAAAACTACCCTGGATAGCTCTCCCAGAGATATGGGGGGGGGAAAAAAACTGGTGAAATGGATTTGTCCTCCAACAAATGCTATTCTGGCGCTGTGTAGGAGGGGGAAGGGGTAGCTGTATCCGGCAGGCAGGGGAAGAGAGTGAAAGCCGTCCTTGAATTCAAAAAGGTTCTTGGCACAGGCCAGCTGATCCATCACCGGCATAACAGGCATAATTGTCCAACACCAAAATAAGCCCCTCAAGGCAAGCGTGAGATGTTTATCATCCAGTGCAGTGACAAATCGGATGACTTCGCATCTTCAAACCCCACGGGAGAGAGTGTTATTCCAAAAAGATTAAATGGAAAAGTTTACGCCATAGAGAATCTCAACCAAGTTTAGCAAAGGACGTTCGATATGAATACCACTCATGTGTGACCTTGTAAAAGCTTGCATATTCCTTTTAGTTTTGTCTATCACCACTGAAACACAATTCTACATGTTCGCATACAATTAATACCCTACATTTTTAATGATCACATATAAAATTAATACACTAAATTTTTGTACACGTAGGTACTGGGAAATGCATGCAGCTTATCAGCAAATTTACATGTACACATGTAGTGTACATACATGTAGTTTACCAGCTTAAGTTGCATGCCTTGTAAAAACAATTGTACTTTTTATCTCATTGTGTGTTGACCTGGCAAGAGACTGTACATGTACATGTAAATGTACATTCCTTTACACTGTACATGTTACATGTATCTACCTGGCCTGTTTATGCCAATGTAGAATTTGGGATATCACTTGATTAAGGCCTTATTTCAGTTTCCCTGTTGAACCCCAGTTTCCAGTGCAGATGACGGCTGGGTTTTTTGTTTTTTTAAATGTCTTTCCTTCCTTCCTTTAAGCTCCCTTTTGAAGTTGAGGAACAAACAGTTCCAGCCTTCCAGGAAATGTAAATGCAGAAAAAAAGTTGCACTGCACTGGTAGCAACACGTGAAAAATAAAGGGGATGACCGCACACTGCATACATTTATGAGAAGAATCAATACCACATGTACATGTACATGTAAGTCAAAATACCTGATGTCATTCATCAGATACCATCATTGACATTGTCTGGTTGTCATGACAATAATGATGGGGGTACTCAAAAGCTGGAGTCACCAATTCATTAGTCTAATCCATGCAAAGCTGGTAATGAAACTGCTTGAGTTACCCAGCTCCTTTTGATGACTTTTTTCCTGTTACCGCGGGCAATGCATACTATACATGTACATGCACAAACATAATGTTTACAACGTAACGTATGTACTTCTACATCATACTCGTGAACGGTAAATTTACAGGTGTAATCTTCCTCATTCATACCACCTCCGCCCCTACACCACCTATAAAAGTGGGAACCTTACTGTTTACCTTGAATCACAACTTACGAGCTCTATGTAATAGAGTGGACCTTTTTACAAGGCAGCCATCTCCACAGAGGCTTGTACAGAGTGTATTAGTGCGCACACCTGCGTTGTCTGAACTCTTATATGTAAACCTCCACGTGCATAATATAAACAGAATATTTCACGTTTTACATCAGTAAAGATGCCGTGGGCTGGATTAACAAAGCAGCATTCCAGAGGTATTCTTTAAAAAAAAAAAATACAGTGCCAAACCAGCCGGGTTTTTAACCTCACACTTATGCGCAACAAATTTCATTGAAATTTCCAATGGTTGTGAAAACATTTACTTACATTAATCTTCAAGTAAACTTGTACAGAGTACCGAAGTGAATACGTCACGCACACAATTAGTGTGTAAAGGGCATTAGCGCGAGAACCAGCTCGTGAACCAACCCGCGTGCGCACTCCATTCGTTTGCACTGCACTTTCTGGTTCACAGTGACGTCACACCTCGGTACTATATTCTGATCCTGATTGATCGATCCATGACAACAGCGTGGTACCAGTAGATCATTCCGCACGGTTTCTACTGCAATCTGCACAGTTCTGAATTCTGCATACTTAAGCTCTTCTCAGCTTTAATACAACACTGCACAGCATATGCAGAGTAAATCAAAAGTGGTGCGTACTTGCCTGGATCCAATATGGATTGTTACATGTACATGTGTTTAGATATCCACCTGGCATGTATTCATGATTAGCACTTGATTTCACTGAAATCTCTCCTACTGTTTTTAAGATGGTGCAAGTGATTAAAAATAGTAGAAAATTCAAATAATTGAACTGTCCTGTTAAGATCTGGACGGTGTACAGCGTCCATGTGCCATCCTCACTGCACACCAAGTTTGAAAATAAAAACTTGTTCCTTCCAAACCCTTAAGGTCTGAGAAAATTTGTCTGAATTTTGAAATTCAGCCCATTCAAATTACATTTAAGGTTTCAGCAATGCTGGAGTTCATGCTGTTTGCAAATGCACGCTCATGCTACAACTTGCAAATTCTAAATGTGCAGGTACATGTCCATAATGACAAGACATACCAGTAGCTTTTATGACATCGTAAAACCAAGCAGTGTGATCTTCAATGGCCGTCCATTTACATTATCACTCCAGTACTAAAGGCACCCAGACATAATTGGATGAGAAGCAATTTCAGGCTAAGGCAATATACCACAGGCTTAATGGAACATGCATTAACAACTGCACGGTCTTCATTCCGATCACACATAAATGTGTACAGTGCCAGGTCGGAAAACTGGCAACGTTAAAACTCCTCCAAATGGCCCATACATACAGCTTGAGAAACTTGATTGGAATATTCCATACAACAAAAAGAAGAAATGATTAATTAACACTGCTAATCAGAACACACTTACAAATCTTCTCCACCAGCAAACATGACATCTGGAAAAATTTAAGTCCCCAGAGTGCAACTGGCAAATAGAATTTGTCAAACATTTCCCCTAACGCACTGCAAGAAATGGCCTTTCTGTGGCGACCTCTTGGTCGCACACTGTATTGCGAATAGCCTGTACTTCAGCACCACTGCAATATAACGCAAACACACAAAGTGTAGTCTAGCCAGCCATAGGCTGCATCCGAATCTGTTGTCTAGAGCTGGATCTAGGTCTTCGCTCCATTGGAAATCCACAAAGGCACACAGACAACAGAACTAGCCATAGCTCTGGAAGCCCGTCTCGGGACACAGCCTTATTTTCGGTTTACTCACCAGATTCGGACACCTCCCATCCATACTTCTTTGCATCCTTCAAAGCCTCACCTGGAAAATGAAACAATATTTGGATTAACATTCATGTTCATATATATACATGTAGTATCCCATATAGGGATACCAAAAGAAATTGTTTTAACTACACAAATGCTGGGACAGACTCATTGCTTAGAAAATGCAGGTTACCAGTTTCAATGTCCGGGGGAGGAGCACACTGTTGCTAAAAATCAGTTCCCTGCTTACCGGTGCTTGGCAAATGAAACATGTTTAGCATTAACTACTACAAAGCAATTCTATACATTTGGGAACCAATGCCCTTTAGAAAAGGGTATATGTTGATCGGCAAATACTGCAAATTTACATGAACAATGTAGGTCATCTTTAGCATGCAGATTTTTCTACGGTCTTCAGATACTGGTAGTTTATGCATTAAATTAAAAACATTAAGCGTGAATGGTTGCCCCTTTAACTTCAAATGCCGAGGTCAACAGTGAAGTGGAAAACCCATTATGATGATTCAATAGTGGCCATCTGCTCATGGGTAACCTCGGCATTCTAGCAACTTCCGTAGCACATCAGCCATGGCATTAATTTCAGGAAAATGTTTTACCTTATTCTGGCAGAGAGAGATACACACTGTCCGTAAGGCCAGCCATACATGTAACGTGTTTAGCTTTCTTAAGAATACACTATACATGTACTGTACATTAATTCATACACGTATATACATTTGTAGATGTATCACCCCCAACAAATCGGGTCACTGAACACAACAAATTATAAGAAACCAATTTACTGTGCATTTCACACTCTGCCATTATCGGCAAGGATGGGTGCCGGTACATGTACACTGAACGGACATTTCTGTATTAAAGCATTTAAATGATTTTAAGACCATCGCTTACCTAGCAGAGCTGCCTGATGCATTAGTTTCTTTGGGATACAGCCAACATTCACGCATGTCCCGCCCAAACCTGAATATCCAAAAAAATGTCCATGAACACGGTATTATTAAAGTTATTTCAAAGGTGAGCACATGTGAAGAATACTACACATATGAATGATTCAGATACCAAAAATTCCCCTAGGTTTTTCATCAGACCAGTTTGAATGCCCAATGGAAATCAAACACACTTCCAAGAGGACCTTCAGCAGCAACCCTCATCAAGGCATTCAATGTGTCAGGTTTGAGGTTGCACCATGATGCAAGCACAATTTATGCAGAGACTATTCATGTTCAAGGCCTAGGAAGTAGCGGGTACAATGCAAGTACGTGTGGAGCCCATGCATACCTGTTTACGGGCCTACGTTCAACTGGACTCGGGCCGCGACAAATTGTTTTTTGAGCTTGCCTGATTGGGCAGGCCATGTTTGCCATAAATCTGCTTGCCAAAATAGGATCAACACTTGCCCAAGATCTCTCAGAGTCCACGATTATTATGGTTATTTAACTTAAGTAGGCCTTCTCCATGCACACATTTTTTATTTGGCCACAAAAATAGTTGTGCTTCTGATGACACAATTGGTTCAGTTGGTAGGTCGGCAAACTTTTTTGTGCTAATTGAAAGGGATGAATGGGAACGATAGCTTTCCAAATTATCTCCAGACAAGATGAAAACCTGTCTTAATCATTGTAAAAATCTCTACAGTCAACAATTCACAAGAATTATGGACAATTCCACAGTGCTACTCAGGCAATCACAACGGCAAACTGGACAACAATGTCCGTGTATCGCGTGGTAGGTGTGCATCATGCATCCACACCAGCGCATGATAAACCTTGTGCCGTGGTAGGGATTTGTCAAAACACGCTTGCTTCAAGTATGAGCAAAACAACCTCAAATTAAAATCATGAACACAGAAAATACATACATGAGACCAAGTTCTGTGAATTAACTTGCCGAAAAGCTCTTGCAACATCGATACTTTTTTCGACCTGTACGGCTGATGTAGAGTAACTGACCGGAATGTACATCGAAACAATTGGCAATTTTTCTCACAGGTCAATGGAATAATAGCCAAAATTATAATTATTCACCAATAGGCGAGAGTGGCGAACGGCAGCTAAAAAACCCTGCAGTAGTCACAGAATTAATAAGCGCCTTTTAAAAGAGATTTTGTCCTTCCTTGAACGGATGAAACAAGCAGCAAAATTTCAAAGTTCTCTTATAGCACTAAATGCCACGTCTTTTCACAACTGAATTTATTGGGGGTTTTTTGTCAGTTCTTCAGTTCTGTTAAATGTGCGATTGCAGCCTATACACACACTGTACATTTCCACCAATGGTTCACTAACACAACTTTCCACGGCGGGGAAAGGCAGATATTTTAAACCAAATGAAACCTTGGCACAGGGATTTTTGTTCATTTTTAGCACTGTAAGATTTTGTGATAACAAGTCTGTGTATCAACGATTCATTACATTAACATGAGCACACACAGCTAGACATAGTAAAGTCCTTGCCCATGTATTAATAGACATCTCGACCCACGCTGATAATTATAGGCCGCCTACTTGAAACAAGGTTAACAACATTAGCAAAACGTAGTAGTCTGTTTCAAGAGTTTGCTTCCATACTGCTATCGGCAAAGAAAAAAAAAGATGGAAAAAATGAAAGGACTTCATCAAATAAGACAAAGTGGAGGATACAGAATGCGTGCAGGAAAAATTCCAACCTGATTTTAATGCTTCAAGTGACAATTCAGAATTCTTAAATGTATCACAGGTTTCCTATACCGTAAGCAAATTAAAGGCAGAAATTATCTACAATAGTAAAAATGCCCCAAGGGGGGGATAGGGTAAAGAATGCAAACTCATGCAGTTCAATTGTGGATCCATTTTTTTTTTTATTGTGTAAACCAATTTACCTACCCCATGTTGTTCCTTTTGGGGAAGGTTTCACAAAATCACACACGGCCACTTTCTTCCCAAACGAGGCAGCTTCCTAAAAACAAGGCAAAATTTTACATGTAGGTGAGAACTTCTAAATATATGTATACCAAATACAAGCAGCAAAGAAAAGAACCGATACATAGTAAAGAAATGGCAATTTATTTTTACTGATTTGCTTCTTTGTTCTGGCCAATTAGCAATGACATGTTTATGCCGTTTCATTGATTTTGTCAAGCTTTGACAAAAAGTACAGACTAATCCAGCGACCAGAATTAGGGCCATTACCTAGTGCCATCCTGTTTGCACGCTGGTGGTACGTACATGTACATGTTACATTTTTCTCAGACCAATAGGGTGTTGTGACTTGTCAAAATGCATGTGCGTGCTCAAGTTTAAACTCATGAGTGTATGGCCCCGCTGGAGTGGCATTTCATCCATTTTGTCTATAGATACTGTACATGTACCAGTAACTTAATAGCCAACTTTAGGAAATTACCCACAAACTTGTGGAAAAAACCACTTACACGTACATGTAAGTGGTCTTCCTACTTGGAAATGTATGACATTTGGTTGAAAATATAATTTGGCCAGCAAGTTGGAACCCAAACAGTGACAGCTTTGAATACAGAGGAAGTAATGAACGAAGCAGGTGTAGAAACCAGAGTTGTGAAAACAGACCCGCAAAACTGTACATGAAAGTGGTACAGAGTCAAGTACAGTAGATTTTATATAGGTATGTTTTAGCAAGTCAGTTTGACCACTCATTTAACTTGCCTTCCAGTGCACGTTCAAAGGCTTGGTTTCATTTTTACTGACCTTTCGAGTGCTTTTTAATACTATTGAAGTTTTAGCTTTTACAGTTTTTATTCAACAGCAATGATAATTTCTCACTTTGTGTAGTGCGTACGAGCATACTAAATCTACAAATGTACATTACCGGTGGTACATGTACATGTATGAACGTTAACATTCCAAGGGATTTACTTGTGTCAGAGGTGAAATACAAATCATTCATGCTTGCTTGTTATGTGTCAGAATTCAGAGCCTTTACAAACACACCGCTACTTTTGTTTATTGCCTTGTGTATATCTATCTGCATAAAGCAAAATTGGGCAAAGTACATGTACACCGGGTAGGTGTACATGTACTGGTAGGGTCTGTTTGTTTCACATAAATCTGAATCTGGATCAGTGATCCCAACACTGATTGCCTCAAGCCCTCAGGCGGCTTTTGGTGAAGGATCACTGATCGCAACTGGGATCTGTGGGAAACTTTGGTGAAACAACCAGACCCTCAGACGAGTTCTGGTGTATACATGTACAAGAACATTTACATACATGTATATGGGTAATTCCAGAAATGAGGGGTCCAAAAGTGCGACATTTTGTGTCCCTGTTACATCTGACCTTTGTTATTTGACATGGAAATATCACCGGAATTGATTTCAACTTTCTATACAAGTACCTCATACATATTCATTACGCATCACTGAACTCTCATTGGTGCATTCAACGTCATGTCTTGCCGCTCTGTTTGCTGTTTGCCAAGTGCACATGCTATCATTCATGCAAGGGGAAAATACACGTATGCAGGCACGTGCCCTTGTAACTGTTGCCCAGTTTTACCGGGCAGTAGCAGAAAATCCAGGAACTATTGCCTGGGTATGCTGTGGTAGTGCCAGCCTACAAGGTACATATAGCAACGGTATGCAGCTCATATGAAAATGATGAGAGGTTTCGTCTGCATGCATTCTTGTGCATAAAATAAATGTAAATTGAAAAAGATGAAGTGTTTGTGTTTCAACCTTAGGAAGAAAATTTTGTGGAGACAAATTAATGATTGTGTTTTATTTTTCAGAGGTGTTAAATAAAGTATGTATGAGGTATGGTGATGGTGAGGTATGGTTAGTTCCCAGAGGAGTTGACAAACTTGTTTTGCCTCAGGAACGACAATGTACATGTAGTTTGTCAACCCCCAATACCTCGGGGAACTAACATCGACTGTCCACCATTACTATTCGTTTGGCAGGTAATTTGCATTAATTCATCACTCTTTGATGTTAGAAAATATGATCTGAACTTACAAAATCAAATGTCAGATGTGACAGGAACACAAAAAATGGACCCCTTCTTTCTGGAATTACCCATATGTACTTACATAGCTATAAATGCATAACTTATTGATACTGTAAGCTAATTAGTTGAGAAGTGCGTAAACTTCCAGGCTGCATTCCATAGTCAGCATAATATATTAGCTTGGGCCAAGGCCATGCCAAACAGTGCAAGTCAAAATTTACATGTATGACAATTCTTTGCGTTAATTTTTGATGCCATCTCCTAAGTACCGGCAACTGCTGTTTCAAAGAGCAAAGCATCCCTTTTTCAATTCATCCATATTCTACCTGCATTCAACCACATACGCACATTGTACAAGTAAGGGATACATGCATGAATGTGATGAACGGTTACAGCCCCAATTACATTAGGCTGTCCTGTGTATACATGTGTGTCTCTTTCCCTGCACACTCATAACTATGACACGACCTCGCCATGCACTGGGTTTACATTACAGTTCCTGACTCTCGCTCAATCAATAATTGCATAAGAGCAACACAGGCATGACACTGCAGAAATGCATCCCTATCAGATTATCACCTGACAAGGCCAATGAAGCCAAGTTGAATTGTGTTATATCAACCACAGTGTACACATCGTGTGCATCTGCTCAGAGTGAGAGACAGAAGAAATGCTGGTGCAGCCGTATGCCATCCTTTCAACCTGAACTGAATTTAGATGTACAAGACCGGCAAACTAAGAAGACTTACCTTTGCCCTTTAAGAGTGAACTATATATTACGCTTAAATCTACACAGTTGAGAGGCTTTGAATATATGGTATACTGCATGACAGGGTTGTCAGTGGACAGTTTGGGGGGGTGGATGCTGGGTGGTATTGTACATGTACATGTACTCAGAAAAAAGTACAAGTAGAATCAACCCTTGCCTGACAGGTTTATTACGATGTGTATTCAGAATTTACAAAGTAATTTTAAAGGAGCATGTAGCGTACCCTGTACATTTTACAAGAGAAAATTGTCGATAATGTCTCAGATTTCCCGGTCAAGCGAAAGGTTCATTATGCAAGGATGAGAATAGGTTCGAGGGATGGCAGAAATTCTCCAATTTGTGATATTCATGCATGTACATTTGGTCCTCTTCTAGGTGCACTACAACGCATACCCCAGGCTACCAGGATGCATGAAAGATGGAAATATATGTCAACTTTTTTTCCTTGAAATGAAAATGAATACCAGGCTGTCTAAGTTGCTGAAGTTTTCAGCACGGACGAAAAAATGTTTCACAAAAAGTAAGGTGTCCAACATGGCTAAATGGGTGTAGAAATGACAAAACATCCCTTGGCAAAGGCCTCATCTTGACGAAATACCCCACGGTATAAACTACTAGGAATACAAGTGTTTAGACCATAGGTGATGCAGTTTTGTCCAATTCTTGGATTCCTATTGAAAGCCTGAGTACAGATTTTGCACGTTATGATTGTCCAATGATTGGCAAACTCTCGGTGGCGCACTATTGTGAATCGCCCGTATTGAGCCTGATGTGTTGGCAAGCCTACGGCCTCAGCATCAAGCTTCGAATACATGTACCCATCAAAGTCAAAAAGACAGGAAAAACATGGGAAGAGATTCATAAAATGTTGCAGTTAATCCTGAACGGCCGGGGATGTTTTGCAGCTTATAGTGTCAAACTCTTGCTCAAGTGGCATCAACCTTTTTTTTAATCCAAAATAGCACCACTCCAATGTAATGTGAAATTTTCACAGGGTTGCATAACATGTTGACTTTTCAATGACAAGGTTCAGTGAGACGTTCTATCACTAAGATCACGCATTTACAATGCAGATTGATTCAACCATGCCAAATCCAACAAGATTCAATTAATTTGCACTAAATCCCAAGGGTTAAGGCTGTATATTTGATGATCACAAGGACCACTATACCCACAGGGATTGGGGCAGAGATGAAGGAAAGGTGACACCTAAAAATTGCTACAAACCTTGGCTGCTGCCAGGCCACCTGACCCACCGCCGATGACAATGAGATCATAGTCGTAGGTGTTAGTCGCGGCATCAGGGTTCATCAGCTGGGCCAGTCGGCCCTCGGCATTGGCCTTCATCGTGTCATCACAGCCCCCTAGATGCTTGCCTTTGATGAAGACGTTGGGGACCGTCCGCTGGCCGGTCATGTCCTGTAGTGTCTTCTGGATGTCTGCACCATTGTCTTGGAGACAACAGAAAAAGAAGGAAAAACGAAGCAATTCAGAAACACATCTTTCACTTGTCAAAATACAAACAAAGGAATACCGGGGCTTTTGTGGTATTTAATGAGGCCCAATCCATCCTTTCTTAACAGAAGGGGTGTCCTATTTCCAGTCAATGCTTTTGGTAAATTCTCAATCAGAAACTTTCAGAAGTTTTCTAACACGGTTTTGCTGACACAGTAAAGACATTAATTTGATATCCTTAGAAGTACATTTACACATAAGACAGAAATCACCCTGAAAAGTTAATCCCCAATCCTCAATGATTCTATGGGAAATAAATCAATCAAAATATCAAATATTATATGCAAGGGCACTAATCAATCAATTCAACTCTAGTTTTTTTCCCACAAAATGACTGGACAAGCAATCAGAAGCGTTAAGTTTGGAGAACGCGGAACTGATATTTGAAATACGCTTCAGATACATACAGTACATGTACACATGTAAATGTACATGTAAACACAGCGTCTTCAGTAACTTTTGCAGATCTAAACATGACTTTTACAGACTTTTCCTTCGTGGCTGCTTTTAGGGAAAAGCAGGAAAAAAGGTTAAAAATGCCCACGTCAGTGGAAAAGTAAGAGAACACAAAAAATCCCCAACATAAACATGTCACTGGAGTCTTCTTAATGTGACTTTGCATCAACACGCTACAATACTGTACATGTATGCACACGTAGACGAAAAGGTACATGTATACATGTACATGCAGCAAACTAAAGGTTATGAATAAGCTTGGCATTTCCTCTAAGCAAACAACTGCATCTGTATTTCTAAATCAGAGCAGTGATCTTTGATCAAGGTACATGTAAATACAATGAAACAAACAGCTCTGATTTTGTAATAATAGTGTACATGTAGTTTAAAGGCTGTGAAAATGGCCGATATAAGATTCAGCTGAGTGGAATCTGTTCACAAGAATGCAGTTATCTGCAGAAGGAATTTTAAACCAGTCATTAGGAAGGAATTTCTGAGAATTTTGTGGACATTTCATACCCACACTGGATAAAAACTGAAAAAGGACAAAAATATTCCTTCCTCCTTTTAATTTGTTTGACAGGTTGGGGGCCTCATTTTTGGGGGGGTCAACTGGGCAAATAAATAATTGTTAAGTTCAAAGGAATAGTTTCTTGAACAAAAAAAATGCATCAGATCGGTATTAAGAGCATAAAGTTATCATTGAATAAATACTGCTTTCAGACAACAGAAACCTGCCCAAAAATGGCTAACCGAAGCGCTTGTAGCATCCCAAATCTTACCTTGTTGATCGAGGTCCAGAGCATGAAACGGTATTTTGAGTGAGGTGAAAAGTGCCTTCACCTATGAACAGAAGCCATCAGAAAAAAGATTGTCTAAACATTTCCATGTCAAAAAATTATCTTCAAATTTAGACATACATGTACATGTACTACACAGGTATGTAAAAATGATTGGTTTTCATTGGTTTGTGTCACTTCTTACAGTACACACGTTTACACGTACATGTACATGTAGGTGTAACGCAACTGCAGTCATGGCAGTGAGTGATTTTATAGTTGGCTAAAAGTCTTTTTCTGTCTATCGCATTTGTCTGGAAAAAACAAATTGTGCATTTCTAAAATGATCACACCATCCATAGTCATGTACTTGTACATGTAACAGTACATGTACTCTCACATACAGCATACATCTGCCAGTCTACGACCTTCATGTTTTAGTCGTATAATCCTTTATGAGCACTACATTGAGTTACGTTAGCACTAACTTTGTAAATTCGCTCTTTATTGTGACACTGCGTACATGTATGGAGGAATAAGAACAGTCATGTACACATACATCAATGGATGCACACTGCACAGTCCTCAAATTAATAACACCCAGACAATTCCGCTAAATTAATGTACATGTCAATGCATAAAAATGTGCAGGTACCAGTAACCTGCTTATTTTTGGCTTCACGTACAGTGTACCTACCCATGGTGAGTTCATTAACTATACATTATTTATGAACATGTATAGAAAAGGTGTAAATAACAGCTCTCAATTCAACAATCCAACTGGCTTCAAAATAACTTTACTTCCTTTTTTGGGGGGGTTGATGATAGGAGAAATGGGCAAAGTCCTCATCTGTTTCCAGTTTCAAAAAATCCAATTCCCTACCTGCAATGTACATGTAACATGCCCACTAAAAGGCAGTATGGTTCCAATGAAGGTGACCCAGTGACCTATTGTGACCCTGGGATAACAATCAATCAAATTACTCCTACAAAAGGCTGCATGTACATTGTGAAATGAATAATGTGAAATGAGGGCATCATTGGCGGGATGCTGTAATAAATGACAATCCTTACTTTAACAATTTAACATACAGTACATCTACATGCATATGTCTTCAACCATGTCAAATCAGTAAGAATATGGCAGTGGATATTTGGCTGTGAGCCAGCGCAGCGACTGTTTTGGGGGACTATGAAATTTTACGGCGAATACATCTTCGTCTGGTGTTATGCTTTACATTGCCACTGGTGAATTTACATTCCCAAGCACGACAAGATGGAATTATGACCTAGCACAAATCAGACTTTATTTCTCTTCAAAAAAGAAAAAATCCTCCAAAGCAGTGGATGTTGAAAGTGGGAGATCCTGCATGTTCTAATAGGGCCTAATAGGGGCCAGCACCAGCCACATGCCCAAACCATTGGGCTATGCCTACAATGTACAGTATGTATAAGCATTCCGCTACATAGTACATGGAAATTGGAAGATGAATTTAAAACTTATAGGCCCGAGCCAAGGGCCAACTGGTATCCTGGTTACTGGTTCAATGCCAGCTGATAAAAAAAAAATGCAACTCTATGACGACAGGGCCTATTATTAAACAGGTCCCCCCAGATTTCTGGGGATCATCATCTCACGTGGGCAGGTGGGAGCACAGTGGATGACAAACTCTGGAGTTTAGCCTGTTCTGGGAGTACAGGAGGGGCATACACTTCGTAAAAAATTTCACGTTTTCTAATGTCTTCTTCAAACCTACAGTACATGTACATGTACGTTAAAATCCTTCAGGGACTCAGACTAAAAATGTGATGACTTAGACTAAAAATTGTAGAGCTATGCATGCTAAGGATTGCCGCTCCAAATTAGAATAACCATGGAATAACATTACGCCAGGCCCTACAGAAAAAAAATTAAACTCAAATAAAATAGGCCTAAGCATAGGCCTAGCAATAGCATGCCTGGCTCCCTTTGCCGATGTCATTTTTAGCAACTCAAGACATGAGGTGACCTTCGTTATGCTATCTCTATTTAATGTCCAACATATTCATTTCCTTACCTTATCACAGAATGGACAGGTTGTTTTACTGAATATCATCACATCATTCTGGTTAATGTGCTGCAGGACCGTGGCTTGCAGGCTCCCGGCGGTGGCCATGTTCGTGGGAGGCATAGCGTGGAGTCACGCAGTTTACCACGTGCTCCGATCCGACTGACAAGTAAATTTATTCGATCGGGTGGATCTATTTTATTCGGCGAGCAGTCTGGGGGAAACAGGAGACGTCTTGGAAAACTCTACCCAAACAGTCCCATCAACTACCAGTGTCACACTTTAACAGTATCTTCTCGGTTAGGCCTATGCCCAACCATGGAGAAATAAAACACAACGAACCCACAAACTGGAATAATAGTGGGCACAGCTAGCTTGCTACATGTACATACAAGACATGTAAGGCCCCGTCCCGGGTATTAGTTAACCAGCAAGTCCATAATTATGAAATGGACTCGGTCGTCTCTACTGTACTGCGCCGTAACACAAGTGTGTCGAATTTATCATACATTGTATCATGCGGGCGATAGGTATGATATCAGCAGCATTTCAACGAACGAGAACCCTGCACCGTTTTTCGCGCCACCAACGTCGAGTCAAAGGTAAATGAGACCGGGGATAACGCCTTGTTATGATGACGTTCACATTGATCATATCGGAGCCCCTATTAATCAAGGAACATAAAATTATGACGAAAATAAACTCATAACAGAAATAACTTGAGTTCTTCACTTCGTGCATTTGAAACAACCATAGACCTGGAGAAGAAAAAACAACTGAATTCGTGTAGGCCTTGCGCCTACTCAAAATTTATTTGGTGAGCTACGTGCGTGCGCGCTAGTCTGGCTCCCTGCCCAAAGATTCCCTGACGACCCTTGAGGGTGCACTGAACTAATTCAAGCTCCATTGAAAAT